GGGAGGAGAGAGGCCAAGAGGTAGAGAATGCTTCATGGGGATGAGACCTATCGGAGATGAGTTGCTGTGCTCATTAGGTCTGACACTCTTGTGCAGATCATGTTTTTGCTAATAAAGAGTTAACTCCCAACTTGCGCAGTGGGATTTACTGCTGGCTTGCTCCTGCCAGAGAGGTTGGGACACCACAATGTGAGTGCTGGATTGGCCTTGCCACCACTTCTGTCCCGTTACTGTCATGGAATATGGCAGCAGCCCTGCCACTGTGAAGCTAGATCCATCACCACCAGCCACTGCTGCCTCTTGCCACACCCAGATCTGTCCAGCTACTCTGAGTTTCTTTGCCTTGTTGCCCAGTAATCTTCCCATTAGCCTAGCAAGAGGAAAAAATAGAGGAACTTTGGAATAAGATTTACAAAGTCCAGTGGGTGAAGAACTTAACAACACCTTGTGTGACATGCTTCCAATACAAGGAATAGAATTTAACAACCATGTGGTCTTGCATGTGGGGAAATTCAAGAGACTTGCCTTTTAAACCATGAAGCCAAGTGTAAAAATATAAAGAATTTTATTTGGGAAAATGAAAGAACAGGGAAGTTAACAATTGCACACAGAAACATGCAGATAAAATCAATAAAGTCAGCCCAGCTTATCTAGTTGCATTTTACCTGCTTCAGCAAAGTCTTGGTTTTCGGAGCATGTGCAGAGTTCCTTTCAGAGAGAGAGAATCTTATCAATCCTAATTATATGTTCCCAAGAAATCAAAACCTGAGGGCAAAGCGTCATGTATTACGTGCATCCGAGACCAGTAACAGCCAGCCCTCTTACTAAAATGGATTGTTGTTTTGCCAAATCAATTAATCTACTCCATCTCTGATGTCAGTGGTCATTCTGTTCAAACAGAAAATGAACAAGAAGCTAGTTTCACCTCACTAATGACTCTGAACTTACATAGCAAAAGGCCTGGGTGGTTCAGATCTGTCAAGCCATTTCCCAGAAAGGCTTAACTGGAGAGTGTGTATTTGGAGACAATAGAGTGGATTGTTGTCTGCTGGAGGTTAATGCCAGAGGGGCAAAAGATCTCAGGTGCTTTAGGTGGTACTACATCAGAATATAGATGTTCTGAAGAGGCAATTTCTGCTTCAGTGCAGATAGAGGATTCTGAGGATGAGCAGCTGTACACAGACAAAAAAAGGAGGAATACAGTCTTCTTTGGGAAATAGATTTAGAAATCAGAATCTATATGGTTGGAATAGTCACAATGAAAAGTCTTGGCCACTGAATCCACTTTATACTTGAAATGTGGTGATGTGACTTTTGCACAAGCAAATATTTCCCATTGGTTGGCATGCCAGTATAGGAATAACTGTTACAGGGAAAGCGTTGTTATTCTTTAAAGCAGTCATGCTTGCTTTAATGGAAAATGAAGTCAAACACAATTGTAAAGAGATTAACGCAGCAAACTGCCAAGTAAGTATCGTGCTATTATTATTATGACTTTGGAATATGTAAGTGTTATGATTCTAATGCCATTACGGACTATGGCTGCAACAGTTCATAAATTATCTGTTTGACTGTACACATATGTGTAAAAGCCAAACATATGACTTCATTGTTAACCATTTCCAGTTGGCTAGAACTAATAATTAGGAGTATACTTGCATTCCAACCAGTCCTTCACACACTAGGCTTAGTTCGAATTCATTAGTGCTGGTCTAGAAAGAAAGAAAAATACCACTGTATAGCAACATTGCTCACTTTGTTAGAGTTTGACCAATACAAGTAACAACAAAACAACAAAATGAGGAAAAATCAGGATGTCCTTCATCATGAAGCTCTTAATCCATCAAAGCTTCTACCGAAAAGAACAAGAGGTTTGCCTGATTAAAAGCAGAATAATAAGAAAAAGGCCTTGAACTACAGTTTTCAATGGATTGGGGGGTATGGGAGGGAGTCAGTTCACTTGAGGAAAAATGGATTCTCTTTCTCTGTGCTGCGTGTGTGTGAACTATGTCTCTGAGGCTTAATAATGTATTAAAAATCCAAATTCAAAGAAATGAGAGCACTCATTTATTTCTGAAGGTTATAAATGTCTCTCAGCAAAATGCTGCCAAGGGGTTTAATAATGACACGGCTTAAATGCAATAAAACCACAAGCAAACATTTCAAAATGACGTGTATAAACTAGTCATAACTGACAGACACGAGTAGCAAATATGTAACATTCTGAAGGCAAAAACCTTCAGAAACGAGCTGTTTCTACACAGCTCCCCAAAATACAGGTGGAATGGAAGAGGTGGGGACTTCAAATCATAGAAATCCATTGAAGTACACAAAACATGACATGGTTTGAGCAGAGGTTCCTTGGAATGCAGGAAGGAAAGGAACAGAAGGAAGGAGGTGTTTCTTCAGGTAATTTTACTTGCCTGAAGTTTCTTAAAACTGTCAGGTGTTATGCTTAAACAAGAAATATTGACCCATGGAGGAGAAATGGAGCTATGTACAACAATGCATTCAAAGTAGCTCACAATTGCTATGTTCCGACAGCACTTTGTTATGTTTTATGGACATTTCTTTACACATTTTATGCAATCTTTCACACTATGGGAAAGCTACTTCTGGAGATTTAGCAGAATCTAGCAGAAGCTCAGTGCTCATTGCTTCCAGAAGAATATCTGGTTGCAACACATTTAATTCCAAAAATTGCAGCAGTTTTGTGCAGTTAATTTCCCTGTAGTTTTCATGGAAGACACCATGTGATGAAATTTGGGGTGGCATTCCAGCATACAGTTCTTTCCCACTGTTTTCTTGGGGGAACAGAAGCACACATGAGTGGCAACATGTCCAATTGAGTTCGCTGCTGTGTCATGTCATGCCCACTGGTGTGAATGAAATTAAACATGATACGGTGGTATGTTGATCAAAAAGCTACTGTTCCATAATGCAAAGTAAAATGAACATTAGAAACCAGGACAGAAGTTCTAGCATTATAACTAGGAAAACTAATGCAACAATTCCCATGTTTCAATGCACCCTCAGTACAGAATTGCCTTCGGTTCTGACCTTTGTGTCAGACAGCCAATGAGGAATAAAGGTTGGGATGTGGTCCCAATTAAGGAAAAGGAGGCAGGGCCTGAAATTGCTTTAGGGTTTATGGTTTTCAATACTAAACAGTTGATTATTCAGCAGGCATGTGAACAAATCAAGTTTCCACTATTACAGCTGCCACCGCATAATTCTGCTGGGGGTAGAATCTATTTCGAACCCCAAGGTTCACTCTCACTCAGGCCAGTATTTTTAAAACAATTACCGTATTTTTCTGTGTATAAGACTAGGGTTTCTCCCCCGAAAAAATAATGTCAAAAATTAGGGGGTGTCTTAAACATGGATAGTGCCGAGGGTGGACGGGCGATTGGTTTTGCCGCAAAAATAGGGGGCATCTTATACATGGAGGCGTCTTATAGACTGAAAAAATATGATAATTCAAATAAAATATTAGGATCCAGAGAAACAGGTTGTCCTTCTTCCCAGGACGTGGGTGGCACTGTGGTCTAAACCACTGAGCCTCTTGGGCTTGCTGATTGGAAGGTCGGTGGTTCAAATCCCCAAAACAGGGGGAGCTCCCATTGCTCTGTCCCAGCTTGTGCCAACCTAGCAGTTTGAAAGTATACCAGCGCGAGTAAATAAATAGGTACTGCTGTAGCGGTAAGGTAAATGGCATTTTCATGTGCTCTGATTTCCGTCATGGTGTTTTGTTGTGCCAGAAGCGGTTTAGTCATGCTGGCCATATGATCCGGAAAGCTGTCTGCAGACAAACACTGGCTCCCTTGGCCTGAAAGAGGAAATGACCACTGCACCCCATAGTCAAATTCAATTGGACTCAGCTGTCCAGGGGTTCTTTACCTTTACCTACCTTCTCCCCACCCAACACAATGAACCAAGGTTGGATAAGGATTCACCGTACCCAACCAAAGCCTACCATTTTTGAAGGGGATCGAAGTATTCCCTTGTGTTCTTCAAATAAGTGTCTATCAACGAGGCTATATTGATGCCATTTGGGTAGTTAAGCTTGGGACTTCTGAGGTCAAATGGTGGTTTCAGTAATAAGCACAAAGAGCTTACCGTAAGCCTGCTGATAAAGGAAAAGACAAAACAAAACAATTTCATTGTGTTATAGCATAGGTAGCTCCTGACCTTTTTATTTAGGAGTGAGGATTACAGGATTAAAGGTTTAAGGCAGTAGGTCTCCCCAAATCCCTTCCTTATCAGGTCTAAATTTATCGCTTTGATGAAAACTGATTACAAAACTCGCCATACTTAACTTTAACAAATGGATATTCATTTTTATGAGTTCCGACAGTTTAATTGCACTGCACGATGCTTAACCCTAACTAATGATAGCCCACTTACAGGAAGCCTCTGCAGAAAAATTCTTAGATAGTAAAATATGATATTTATACTTACCAGGTACTTTTTCTGGCAACTGTTCTTTCTTTCTTTCTTTCTTTCTTTCTTTCTTTCTTTCTTTCTTTCTTTCTTTCTTTCTTTCTCCTTCCTTCCTTCCTTCCTTCCTTCCTTCCTTCCTTCCTTCCTGGAATGGTATTTTTCCATTAGGATAGATTATTCTGGAGGAATATTGCCAAAAGCTATTCTCAGCGAAGGTGGAATTATGTATTACTTTGAAAAATATGCATTCTGAAACTCAACAACAGACAAAAGAAAGTAATTCTTTGCACAGCTCATACCTAAACTATGGAATTCACTTCCACAAGATGTAGTAATTCCCACCAGTGTAGTCACGATGGCTGGTTCCTACTTCCACTGTTCAGATGAATTCTAGCTATTGGGAATCACAAATGGAGGTAGTGCTGTTTGCACTCAAATCTTGCTCGTCTCCACATAGGCATCTGACTGGTCAGTGTGAGAACAAGATGCTGAACTAAATGGGCCTTTGGGTTTATCCAGCAGGGCTCTTCTTATGTCCAACCTTACTGTGTTGTTTAGTCGTTTAGTCGTGTCCGACTCTTCGTGACCCCATGGACCAGAGCACGCCAGGCACTTCTGTCTTCCACTGCCTCCCGCAGTTTGGTCAAACTCATGCTGGTAGCTTCAAGAACACTGTCCAACCATCTCATCCTCTGTCGTCCCCTTCTCCTTGTGCCCTCCATCTTTCCCAACATCAGGGTCTTTTCCAGGGAGTCTTCTCTTCTCAAGAGGTGGCCAAAGTATTGGAGCCTCAGCTTCAGGATCTGTCCTTCCAGTGAGCACTCAGGGCTGATTTCCTTAAGAATGGATAGGTTTGATCTTCTTGCAGTCCATGGGACTCTCAAGAGTCTCCTCCAGCACCATAACTAACCAGCACCAGCAACCTTACTAACTTAGCGTAAATAAAGGAACAGAAGGAACATTTGTAGGTGTCAGGCATCAAAGGATCCAAACCCCACGGTAGTTGCCAGGAATGGATAAGACAAGGAAAGTTCTTACCAACAGTTATTTATGTTTATGGAAGCTTTTCACGTTTGATGTTTTATCGTGTTTTTAATATACTTTTGGGAGCCGCCCAGAGTAGCTGGGGAAACCCAGCCAGATGGGTGGGGTAAAATAAAATAAAAATAATAATTATTATTATTTAATATTCACAGAGGAAGGTTTAGATATGCAGCTTCTTGGAATAATGGTGTTGCTCCAAGTCAATCTCCACCCCACCCCCCTTTTCTCCCTCTTCCTTATTCTTCACCAGCACCACCCACCTTACGGTTGCTGCTTAGGACCATCTGTCTCTGAGTCCTTTGCTCTCCTGCTTTTAAGGCTTGCCAGGTTCTGGGAGATGGTGGGTCTGGAATGCTTTCTAGTAATAACATGTCAGCCAACTGCTCTGGCTCTGCCTGCTCCTCCTCTCCCATTATTTCCCAACTTTCCCCCTCATCTTCCTATGAGCTGTGACCTCCCTCAAACCCCTGTTGTAATTCTGAACTGTCTTCTTCTTCTCTGGAAGGGTCAGGCTGGCGAGGTGGTCTCCACCATTCTTCCTCTGCCCAGTCCCTGACATCAGGGGAGAATTGGTGAGTGCAGAGTGCTGAGATGCGACTCTTACCTTCATAGAATAGACTACATTCTAGCCACACAAAAGGTCAGAGATTTTTATGTCCTTATGTATCTTTTCCATCAGGACAGGTAAAGAGAATTATTACCTGATATACCCCAGCAGAGCAAAAAACCCTTGAGGAACGTGGGGTGCAGGGCCAGTGACCCATGCACACTGGGAGAAGAGGCATGGTCTGGGAAGAATTTCAGGGGCCAGAGACAATACACTATAGTAAGATAATTGTATAACACTTGATTAAAACAAACAAAAAACCCTGTGACACCTCCTTTTTTACTTTATTTTGGCTTTGATAAACCTACACAAACATGCAACTGAATCCAGTAATTTTTTTAAAAGTCCAACGCCTATTTATAGATGTAAAAGAATAGAGAGTTAAGTGTTATCCTAATTTTGTTCCAGAAACTGTTGATTTTATCCATATTGCAAACCACCACAATTTCTTACTGGCGAGAGATCCTGGGGGACCTAGCTCTTAGCCAGGGTTGTTTCCTTGAATTTTATTGTATACTTGTTTATGTAAACTACTTAGTGGGTTTTTTTTAAAAGAAATGAAACAGTATATAAATCTTGCTAATTGAAAATATATAGAATACAAAAGATGCAAGAGCATAAAATAACACATACGATCAAAGAAAGTACAAACACCCTGAAGAAATGGAAGCAATGAGAAAGTCTTACCAGTTCAGCTTGGGAAGTGATGAACATGTTTGCATTAACCAGCCAACAAAATGAGTCTTTAAAAGGTCTAATCTCTTTTTTAAATTATGCAGCAGCTACATTAGCTCATCCATATTAGAGTGTCAGCTTTCATATCCAATAACATCATTTCATCATTATTAATTTGTTCTGTGTATCTGAGATAAGCATGTTTGACATTCTTTAAATGTGTTCCTCTTTTTAGTGTTTACATTTTGTTTTGATAGGCAGAGATTCGGCCCTCCCCCCCCAAAAAAATGTAATGAATGTAACGAAGCATATGTATTCAAATGAAAGCAAAGTGATTACTAGACCTGTTTTTAAAAAATCAGATAGAACTCTTTTCCATCGCATAACGGACATCACTTTTTATGCATAGTAATAACATTCAAGTTCTGTGACATATATTTGAATTACTGCACTCTCAAATAACTTTAATGAGATCCTGGGACTCTACTAAAATAAAGATAGTTTCCTTTGGAGTTACACAAATTAGAGTATTTTGAAGTTTAAGATGGTAGATAACAGTTAAATAGGTAATATCTAAACACTGTCTTTGGACATTAATTAACCTCAGAACAATTCTGGCTCTATTTTTTTTTTAATAAAAAAATATATATTCTATTATTAGAAATGTTGAATGTTGTATATCACTTTTTCTGTGATAAGAACCCAAACTTGCAATAACAACATTAAAATGACTTTAAAAATGACTACACAAACAAACATATCAAACAATCAGCACCACAAAACACACACCCCTCCCCAATTTATGTCCTTCATTCTGGTCCTCAGATAGTTATATAACAGTGCAGTCCTATACATGTTTTCACTTGTCAGCCATGGCCAAAACTGGCCCTCCAGCTGTTGTGGGACTACAACTCCTATCATCCCTAGCTAACAGGACCAGTGGTCAGGGATGATGAGAACTGTAGTCCCAAAACAGCTGGAGGGCCAAGTTTGGCCATGCCTGACTTAAGTATTATCTATTGACTTCAATGGGACTTGCATCCAGGCAAGATGTAGGGCACTCTCATCATCCCTGACCATTAGTTATGCTTGTTAGGGCTGATGGGAGTTGTAGTTCCCCAGCCCTGGAGGTCCCCCAGCCCCGGTGTATAGGGATCCCAGCCTAAGGCACTTTATTTATTGCCCTGCATTGATAAAATAACCGCCATTAGCTGCTCACTTGAAATCCAGGCTCAATTCGCAATCATATATTGCTTTCCACAGTATTTTTTCAGATGGGTCACATATGTATATTTCTACCCAAGATTTGCAAAGCTACAAATGTTCATATGGGGGGGGGGGGGGTTTGCTGTTTAGTTGTTTAGTCATGTCCAACTCTTCGTGACCCCATGGACCAGAGCATGCCAGGCACTCCTGTCTTCCTCTGCCTCTTGCAGTTTGGTCAAACTCTTCTTGGTAGCTTCGAGGAGGTGATGGGCACAGTGGCCATGATCTTAGTTTTTTTGAGATCCTTCATGGATCACTGCCTTGTCATGGCGATGGGGCTTGAACAACTCAGAGAAGCTATGAGCTATGCCATGCAGGGCCACCCAAATGGACAGGTCATAGTGGAGAGTTTTGAGTAAACGTGATACACCTGGAGCAGGAACCGGCAAGCCACTCCAGTATCCCTGCCAAGAAGAAAGACAACAGGCATATATTGGAGGGTGGGACCCCCCCAAAACTGTTCACCAAGGACTGAGCATGCTCTTCAGGTTGGTAGGCTGTGTATGTGAAATGAGGGTGTGGCAGGTTGGAAAAGGAATCATGTAAAGGAACATTCCATACCGCAACATTTTCCTTTTTTCTTTTTTGCAGGTCCCGCATGTACTAGGATCCTAAGCCAAGTCCTCAATTTTATTAAAGTGCTCTTTTTTTAATGCAAGCTTGACTAACCAGGGTGTTTCCGCTTCTTGCTGTAGGTAATTATACTCAAAATGTTCAAGTGTATTTCTATTTTTGTCAAAACGACATGGTTTGCTAGAGGAGTCTTGCCCATTAAAGTTACACCTGTCATTCTAACCGCTCGCTGCCAAGGAAGATTGACAAAAAATACCCTCTACGGCCTGTCAGAATGGAAAAAAAAGTGGGGAGGGTGAAAGTAATGAAGCTAATATGGAATAGTGATTAATCCTGCATATGGAGTCAACCAGTGGTGAATAGGGATTAGTCGGGAACACATGGCAACATATTTGGAGTATGAACCAGAGAGTAACACATATATCATCATAAGCTCTTTCATTTAATGTTATTTTTTCTGACAAATATGCAGAGGGGCTGTGGGGTTTTATTCTCAGCAGGTGGGGGGAAGAATAAACAGAAGTTCATTCTCCTGTGTCAGATAGCTGCAAGGATGGAATCGAGGTGTGTTGATTCAGTGAGATCCATAGGTCTCTTTGGAGGGTTATGGGCATGTCTAGAAGCCAGCAACTAGGGCTCTGCTATTTTGCTGGCTGGCTGGATATGAAATGTATTTAAGGCACTCTGGTCTCACCAACCTAGAACTATATGACATAGCAGTGAGGGCATTGACAGGGAAAACTCTCTATTCACCTTCAAGGTGTGGCTCAGCCTACAACTTCCAGCAGAGTGGCTTGCCCGAGACAGTCCAGTTAGATTTAGCCCGTGTATATTTCTGTGCCTCATTTCTTTATTACCTACTCCACCTGCAAAGTGGAGAAGACCACAGCAGAGATTTAGAACTCTAGGTTACGCCTCTGAGCTATGATGTCATCATTGCGCACCAAAGTCTAATAGGCTTCATCTGGACCCCAGATGGTGGTGATGATTAGTTTGATTTGTTGGCTGTTTTCCTCGCAAAAGAGACCCAAAGCAACTTACATTACAGCCAATTTAAAATAAGCGCAACCGATAAAAGTCAAAAACCACATCTATACAGATACAAAGTTGGCTCTTACAGATCACATGCCATCAAAAGAGGCCGGAAATCCTGCAATTTAAGGCCCAAAACCCTGGCCAAAGAGGAAAATATTTGTCTAAAAATAGATAAAAGTGGGTACATTGATAAGGGGCCTCAGATGATGATTGCAGAGTTCAGATGGGTTTGTGTGAGGATAAGCACTGGAACTGCAGGTATTAGCAAAGCAGATTGGTGGTGCTAATATTGGCACGTTTGAACCATGACATACTATAGTTCATTTTAATGCATTATAATTAAGCATCTGCTATCATGCCTCGCCCTTTCTCTTTCTGTGTGTACTCTGTGCCGAATCTGGTGGATTTCCCCTTCTGTACATTGCAGTATTTAATTCCACATTAAAGACCTTCGTAGCTCAAAAGCCTATGAAAAAGCCCTGTCAGTACAGATAACTCTTGAGATTATTTGTTCCCTTATATCATCGCCAAGACATTTGGGAACTCTGCCACTAGTCTGCACGAAAGCAGCCTCTAACCCATATCGTGGGTTTTGTGGTTAGGGAGAGCAAATTGCACATAATTACACTTTGGAAATAAGCAGCTGTTGTTCAATCTGTGATTCCTCTGGTGTTTAGGCATGTTTTGTGATTCCGTGATCTAGCGCCTCTTGCAATCTCTCTCTCCCCCTTTAAAAACTGGACAGCAGTTGGAAATCATTGTGACTTAATGATAGAGTGCAGAGCAACAATACACAAAGGGAAATATTGTTGAAGAATGATTTGAGTTTTTCCCGTTTTAAAAAATGGGGAACAAATGTATGATAGAACCTGTCGTCCAAAACATGTGAAGGTACTCAAGTTGGAGAAGACTGGTGTTCATGTCCACAGACCAAATAGGGAATCTACTTCTGAACAACCTCAAAATGAGACTTATTTTTGAATAATACAGTACTTCTGAACAGAGACATGGGAGATACCAATGTACCACTTGTCATTCAAACAACTTTACCGGAATCCCTTTCCTACCTCCCTTTCTGAGAGACTCTAGAAGTTTCCCACTGAATTCTGCCTGCCAAACGCTGAACAACTTTGCTTGTTTTTATATGCTGGCGCTTACGTCAGAAATTTAATTTGAATTTGAGTGCCACAACGTTTTTATAGCCCATCAGATCACCTTTTATGCACTCTTAGGGTAAATCAATAATTCCATCACTTTTTTATTTTTAAGAACAGCATTTTATGGACTTTATGAATTATCTCTCAATGAGCCACTAAAGCAGAAATATTATAGGACAATTAGAGCAAAATGTGAGCAATGACAAATTAGATGCATTTGCATGGCCCATTAACTAGCAGCAACAATCATGTTAGGATGACAGCTTCTGGGATTCTCTATTTAATCTTCTCATCATTGGAGACAATTATTGGTACATATACACAGTGTATGTAAAAGTGGTAAAAATAATAAAGCGTATGCCATTTCTGCACCTCACTTTATGGCAACAGACGCAGTGAACTGGCAATATTAAAAGGAATGGCCAAAATTAAGGAGACTTAGTAAAATACAGGAGATCGTATGGTAGGATATTTAAGCCAGACTGCCATCTAGTGAAACTCTTTGGTGTACAGAAATAGCCAGCACATCCAGAAAGAAACATTCTGCTTTAAAGATTAAGAGTCTTCAAAAGTTTGTGGGACTGCAATAATTACAGTCCAGAAAAAAACAAAATCCTGCTCACAACTAGGTCTCATTGAAATGAAAGGGATTCAACAGCATCATCTTATGTTAGGCTACGCAAGTCCCATTGAGTTCAGGGACATACTCCCAAGTAAGTGTGCATAACAGCATCACCCAAACTATTGCCTGTCTGGCATTTTGGACTACAGTCCCCATCATCCTTTAACATATAATTCATCTAATTGACCCTGAAATGAAAATGCCTGTATATTAATGAAGGTTAAAAATGGAAAAATAGATAAACTGGGGATTTTCCAATGTTGTCGGGGTTTTTCCAATGTTGTTTTCTAAAGGACTCTAATCTCCTTAATGGGTTCTAACTGTTGATTGTTTTCTTCTCTGTGCTGAGAGGTGGTGAAGGTATTGAGTTGCAAATCTCCATTTTGAAAGGGAGTTGCCTTTAGACTTTTGTCTCCCAAACTCTATGGAGTGATGATGTAAATGAAGCTCTTCTGAAGGGAGAGTCAACAGCCTAAGGCCAATGAAGACTGGAAAGCAGGCTGTGGGGAGAGACAGACCTTTGCTTCTAGGTCTGTTTGGATTCTTTCATATTTTCTAAGATGCTGAGCCTGTGCTGGACAGCACAAGACCTTGTATGGATATTTTGGGTGTATCTTTAATGCTTCTGTTTCATTTTAAAGAGTTCTGCCAGTAAAAGTTTGAATAATATTTTAATGGGCCTGGACAATGATTTCTTCCAAAAACAGTCAGTTCCTATGCTTCCTGTCACTTCAAGAGAGCCAATGTGGTGTAGTGGTTAAGAGCGGTAGACTCGTAATCTGGGGAACCAGGTTCGCGTCTCAGCTCCTCAACATGCAGCTGCTGGGTGACCTTGGGCTAGTCACACTTCTTTGAAGTCTCTCAACTCCACTCACCTAACAGAGTGTTTGTTGTGGGGGAGGAAGGGAAAGGAGAATGTTAGCCGCTTTGAGACTCCTTCGGGTAGTGATAAAGCGGGATATCAAATCCAAACTACTACTACTACTACTATTCTTCTTCTTCTTCTTCTTCTTCTTCTTCTTCTTCTTCTTCTTCTTCTTCTTCTTCCTAACTGTGCAATATTAATATCTGCAACATGCCCATGATGGCTGGGACTGTCATCCAGGAAGGCACCGGTTTTTGGAAGGCTGGTTTATAGATTTGCATGGTGCCTAAGTTAGTCACCATAGCTTTCAATGGGAACTGGTTATGACTTTTGATGAATTGTCCCCTATTTTGTAATGTGCAAGCCAGCACAACTTGTAGCCCAGTAAGTCAAACCTGGTTCAGTACGACAGTCTATTGGGGACTAAATAAAAAAAACTAAAGTAGGTTTCAGCACCAGGTGGCACTGGTCCTCCTGATGTTGTTGGACTCCCATCAGCCCCAGACAACATGATCAGTAGTATCTGGAGGACCGCAGTTTCACCACCCCTGGATGAGTGGACTATTGACACTATTCAGAGGTATTCCAGACAGCAACTTTGCCTTGATGTAGCATGAGAACAAGCATGTTTTGTGACACATAACCTACACACACACCTGAAGGGGAGTTTGCAAAACCAGCATTCATGTAAAACAACTCTGTGACTATAAGATGGTCTCTGAAACTCTGCTTAAACTCACTTTTGTCCTCTATCTAAAAATAAAGCAATCAATACTTCTTTTTTGGCAAGGCATTTCTGGCATTCACAAAGCTGTCATTCCTCACAAAATGAGGATTGTGAATATATCTCACAAAGCGAACATCTCAAAATAAACTGCAGATAAGTTCCAACTAATAAAGCATTTTTCACCAGACAGGTTTTTTTGTTTTGTTTTGTTTAATAAAGAAAGATGCAATAACCATTAAGTAGATGATGACAAGTTAAGCGTAAGTTCTTTTCCATCTCATTTTTAAGAGGCACGGCATAAGCTTTCTTGCGTGTCAAGACCCCGAGGTTTCCCCCTTATGTTGAATAATCACACGTGGACACCAAATATTAGGTTAATGGGCAAAATTTAGGTCACAACTTTATTGGTTACAGAATGTGAGAGGTATTGGCTTAGGCACTGGAATTGACCTGACTATATCTGACTCCCACCCTCCTGCAGGAAGTCTCACAAGGGTTAACCACCTGTAGGGGGAGCCCTGCTGATGTACAGCAACTCGGACCTCCCCCAGGGTCACCGGAAGGTCGTGCAAAGGCCCTAGCCACCACCCAGGCTTCAGACAGGAACCACGACCCCCAGATTCCTTTAACAGAATACCCTTTAAAATGGAGAGGCAGGTGATAGCCACACCTCCCCTCGCCCAAACCAGATTTTACCAATGCCTAACCACCAAACCTTACAAAAGTTGTGACGATAGCTACGAGGTAGGTGGAAACCAAATGACCAGTGCCAATTTGCCAAGTGGAAAAATTCCTACCAGGCCCCTCAATGGTGAGGTCCATAGCAAGGCCAATATGACAATGCATGAAAAAGAGGGTGGGAGATCCACGGAAGCCTGAACAATAAAGGAGATTCCCACCCCCCAGCCGTGCGGCTGTTTAAAAAGGGGTAAGCCACGCCCCCGACCAACCGGATTGGCTGGTCGGGGCCATGATGTGGCCAGGGACTCCCTGATGACATGGGGGCTTAGCCCCGCCCCAGCTGTGTGCGGAGGCCAAGTGGCCTGACCGCAACACCGCCCCACCTGGAAGTGGAGCAGCCTTATTAGGAGAAAAGGTGAAAGTTGCCTGTCCCCCTTCCATCAGTGAGAGTGTAACATAAACATAAACTCCATTCACAGGATGCCCCACAAGCAGGCACAGAATTGGGATCTAGGCCATATCAGCAGAAATCTCACAGACACCTTTCCTAAAGCAACTTTCCACACAAAGACTTTTCAAGGAAATATAAAAGAATTAACAAGGAGTCTGGATAAATTACTCAGGGGGTTTCATGCACACATCCCCGTGCTGTCGTCAGGTTTTATCCAGAGCAAAACTCAAGGCAAATTAGGAGCTTCCTTGTCAGGGGGGAGAAAAAAACCCACGAAACAATTTTGGGAGAACAGCCCAAAGAATTACAGTAAGATTACAGAACTTTCTGGCGATAGGATAATATGTCTCTCTTACTCATAAATTCATTTGAAAATACTTTGGGCGAAATTATTTTTCTGACATAGAGGTAATAGATCTTTATATGCAGCAAATAACTGCCATATTTTTCGCTCTATAAGACACACCAGACCACAAGATGCACCTAGTTTTTGGAGGAGGAAAACAAGAAAAAAAAATATTCTGAATCTCAGAAGCCAGAACAGCAAGAGGGATCACTATGCAGTGAAAGCAGCAATCCCTCTTGCTGTTCTGGCTTCTGGGATAGCTGTGCAGCCTGCATTCGCTCCATAAGACGCACGCACATTTCCCCTTACTTTTTAGGAGGGAAAAAGTGAGTCTTATAGAGCAAAAAATATGGTAAATGCTAACACTGTCCCCATCCAGCCATGAAACACACATGGATGGCTGTAGGCGAGTAATTCACTCTCTCAGTCTAACCTACATCCCAGGTGGTTGATGTATGGACATACTGGCGAAGGGAGCATGTTTGTTTTCCTGAGCTCCTTGGAAGAAAGATGGACTACAAATGCAATAAATAAGTAAATAAGTGTGTGTGTGTGTGTGTGTGTGTGTGTGTGTGTGTGTAAAAAACTCCCTTCAGCTAAATAGCTCCCAGGGCAGTGCACAATAAAATACTCTAGATGAGGGATGGAGAACCTATAGCCTTCCAGATGTTGCTGAACTACAGCTCAGATCATCCCTGTCCATTGACCATGCTAGCTGGGGCTGATGCTGATGGAAGGCCACAAGGTCCTCACCACTCCTATAAGCAAATGAATAGACTTCAAAATCTCTCCTAAAAACAAGCATCACTCGGGTTTTATCCCTTTCATTCTCAATGGCTTAACTTGGAGTCTCTATTTCTATGTCCAAGCACGATCCAAGATGGGATGACAATTTTCTACTCATGTGACCAATCTGTAGAAGAAGTGGCAATACGAACCAGATTTCCTGGCTCCCCGTCTCGTATTTATAATTATCTATTTTGACAGTGACTGTAACTTCGTGCTCAGTCGGTTTTCAAAACAGGATAATTGCAACACTGAAACATTACTCTTTTTTTTTTTTTTTTTTTGAAGCCCAAAGCATTTGCTGTAGTTGCTCATGCTTGTAATGTACTTGTTAAGCTATGTGGAAAGAAAAATACTTCTTAGCACTGTTAGTTCCCACCCACCTACCAGAAATATCAATGATATTGATGAGCCATTAATTTCTCAATAAAATTGGTGCAAGGAGACAATATGAAGTTGTATATACTTGGCTCATATTTGCTGTTTTGTCTTGCCCTTTTCACCATATGGACATTGCAAGACACCTCTGCTTCATCAGTGCTTTGTTCTTTGCAAATGTAATGGCCCATCACTCAGCCTTTATCTATGATACAATTGTAAGGTGGCCAAAATGCAGAAAGCCTTGCTGACGTTTGTCACAGAACTCCATATGGCGGCTTAGCCGCTAGGTCCTTTAATCGTGTCTGATGGTGTTGCCTTCAAAGAAAGCTGAGCAAAGCTAAACAGGAGGCTTGTTTTCTTATCCCGCATGTTTGATAACAAAGGATCCATCTCACTGCAGGATAGGATGTCGGCTGCTCACAGAGAAACCAACACCGCTGAAGGACAAATGCATTGTATGCTCTGGTCCAAGCAAATAAGAATGGCAGAGGGGCCCAGTGATAAGATCTGAGGTTGAGGTTCACCTAGAATAATTACCAAGGCTATCCAATATTTAAACATACTCTGTTGATTTGTCAGGCCCTCGTGACATGTGGCAAGCTGTTATTGAGACAAAGGAGTTCAAAAGAAACACATACAGCACAGGAGTCGGCTATTCAATGAGTTGGGAGAGGGAAATCTCACCGAGCTAGCAAAAGTGCCTTGGGTGAGTTTTTTTCCATCCTGGCCAGTATATTGCCTCAGGATTCTTCCCACAACAAACCAACCCACAGGTTGCTCCTCAGATTGAAGGTGTCTGGCCCACATATGTGACGTGTAACGTCATGCACATCTCCTGACATCATGCAGGCTGGTGCAGCCTTCCACCAGGCCATGCCAGTCCCTGCAGTGTTGGGAGACATGGCACAGGCCAATGCAATCTTGTGCAAGGCATGCTAGTCCCCACGGTGTCTTCCAACACCCCACAGGCTGGTGCAGCCTTCCTTTAGCTGTGGGAAGGTCTGGCGGGGCCAGCCACTTCTGCAGGTAGGTCCAGCAGGGCCCACTACAAGCCACAGGAAGGCCTAACCATAGACTGTGGAATATTGAGGGGGGCCACCACCCTCCTTGAATTTTTTGGGGGGATCCTTGGCCCCACCAAGATGGCCACCCTGAGCCACCCTACTTTTCCCAGACCACATGCCTCACTGGCCTTGCTGTGCACCTTCTTTAAGTGTCTGAAATAAATCCTTAAGCTCTGATAATGCCTTTTGCTTGCTTGAATAGAGGATCAGGGGGTGTAGAAATCAGCCCATTGTAGAAAGGTGCTTTCATTCTTCCACCCCACTTTTGCCTCTGACCCCACACAGCAACTGCACGTGGTCCCCAGAATGTGTCCCAGGAAGAAATGCTGGAAAAGGTCCCCCACAAAGGTCCCCCCCCCCCGCATCAGACATGACTAAAAGTCTTGGTAACCTTACGAGGAACATTCTTCATAAGAATTCCATATCCGCTTCTTCATCACCTCTTTTACTAATTTCAATATAATTGCCTGGTTTATGACTTCTTGAATACTGCACCTCAAGGAATAAGCAGAGGTCTGGCCATGCCTTTTCTTGTACTTCTTGCTTGAGAGCATAAGAAATACTTAAGAGTGGTTAGCAATTATGTTTCCCATCAGATTTCTACAGATCATTAAACCTGGGATTTTGTAGGGCAAAATAATTAGTGCAAGGAAGAAAGCAAGGATAACCTGTTCTTTTTTTTCTTTTTTTCACAAAGAGAGAAGGTGGATGTGGTTGCATGACGAATGGCTCCCCCACAGTTGAATAACCTACTGGAAGGGGAAGAACCCCATAACTTACTAAGCAACTATTAAAAGTTGGCATAAGTTACTCCTATTCCAAACGCCACTCAGGAAGACTGTGACATACAGCATTCTTCTTGCCAGTTAAGTTCTGCTGCGTTGCTAGGTCATATGACAGAACTGAAAAGGGTTTGGAATAGGTTTAAATCTCTGCTTACCCTGCCCTGTTTCCCACAACATCCCAGTAATTATTAAGTAGAGGGCAAAAATCACCGAAATAGTTTCATTGTGGAATAGGACTCAGTTGGCATTTATGTTGCTATGTTGTTGACTGTGTGGGTAAGCTAAATATTGAGCTGTTTCCATTCTGCTGCAGTTTGGTTTCTGCCAAATACTAGGTCATTCATCTCGCTGTCTGCTATTTAACACAATTTATGTAATTATTTACATAATTTATCTGAATGGTAACTTTGACACAATCAATGATGTCATTATTTCCACACGATTAATTTCAACGTGAAGGAAATATCAATGTTAAAAAGTCATTAATTAAGTATTGCATGGGGGCTTCAAAAAAAAGGAACAAACCCAACGATGTCATGAGGAAATACTGATCATATTTGCTGAATTGACTTTTGCACCAGACCTTTGGTGAAAACAGCAGCAATTTCATTGAAATTCTTCAGCATTCACACTAATTCATTTTGAGGAAGCTGTAGTGACAAAACAAACAAACAAACAACAACACACCAATTAAACTTGGGTTGATGAAGAGCTAGCTTCAAAGAAGAGAGCATTGGGAATAATGCAACAAAACAAGGCCATTGTTGGCACCCAAAAGTTCAGATCCCCACTTTCTCCTACATCTATAACTTTGGCACACATTCATACTCCCTGACCACTCAGACTGTTTGTGAATATTTTATGACATTGCAACAGATCACAGCTGCCTGATGGTTTTTAATTTACTGTATATGAAAAGCATTCTCAAGGAGCTACATGAAAGGTACTTAAATAAATTGAATCAGCTGAACCCTGCAGACCTTTTCTGTATTATCCAGAAGAAGCAAAGCACTGAGCTAAAAGCATTCAGCATGCAGGCCTCTTAAGATTGTTTTAAATATATAACTAATTACACATGAATTTCCACAATTATCGAAGCAGAATAAATATTTGCTGATTTTCCTTGAGGAAATGGATGCTTTTTAAAAATAAAATAAAATGCAAAGCAGGCCGAGAGGTTTGATTAACCTATTAAACTAATCCAGAAGACTCAAAAGCCAGCACTACAACAAATGCATTAAACATTAGTGTGTGGTAGACTTGCAAAACGTGCTTTTAGGTTCATTTTCAAGCAGCTTTCAAAGGTAATCCTGATGCCTACAGTGCCAGAAGCGTTCTCTCAAGCATGCTATAATATAGATTGTACCCACTTAACCTACAGACTATAAATGTCAACGGAAAACATTTACTAAAGATCTGTTACCCATTCGGTATCCATTTGCTTGTGATGACGCTCTAGACTCAGAGGTGTCTCCATTCTTGTTTAAAACATGTAACCGACGATTTTCCTTTCAAAAGAAACATTGTGATGCTTGTGGAAAGCTTTCAGTTCTTCCTCCTACCCTAAGATATATATTAGGGCTTTTAAAGAGGTAAATTGAGACAACATTCCTACCTGCTGGAGGAATCGGAAATGCTCCTTGCAGGAGGGGAAACTTTCTGCGTGTTCAGACCCTTAAACCTCCCCCTTAAATAAATTCAGACAAGACTCAAATTTTGCTCTGGTTTTTGGCAGAATTTAGGCCACAACTTTATTGATTACAGAAAGTGACTGGTTGCATAGGCTCTGGTTCGACTAGCTCCCTGCACCGTTGCAGGTAGCGCTGACCCAGGGCAACAGCATAGGTCAGCCTAGGGTGAACATCCGGATAGGCGGAAAGCCAGGAACAGGCTATGTCCACCATCCAGATGTCCCCCTGGACTCAGGCACGGGCACAACCTCCTCACAGGGTTGACCAAACCATTGAGTCCCTGGATTCCTTTAACAGAATACCCTTCACATAGGGATGGCGAGAGCGTTCCCCCATCCCTATCTCCTGAACCAGAGCCTATCCACAACCTTACAAGTTGTGATGATTTGCTATGCAGAAGGCGAAACCCAAATGGCACCAGCCAATCAGTCAAGTGGGGAAAATTCCTGCTGTGCCCCTGTCCCAATGACAGACGACACATGATGGCATAGCAAAGTCAAGTGTTCAGCCCTAAAGGTAGGGAGAGGTGGGCAGGTGTTCCGATGCACGCGCTGAAAGAGGAAGCTCTGGGTCACGTGCATAGGTATATATAGGTCCCTTGATCTGTTATCCTGCGTCCCATTGGCCTGATTAAACCGTGCTTCAAGGGACCTACCAATTGGGTGTTGTGGCTATCCAATCATACCCACCCACAACACAGGGTTTGGTTGCCAGGTCTCTTTGAGGGAGGACCCAATTAATGTAGATTCGGTCAAAATTTGGTTGTTGAATGTAATCTGTTCCAGAAGCCCGTTTGGATTCCGAAATGTTTGACAATTGAGGCGTGGCTTCCAATTGGTTGCAGGACCTTCCTGCACTCAAGACGTCAGACATTCAGCTTCCGAAAAACTTTCAAAAACCGGAGCATTTACTTCTAGGTTTTCGGAATTTGGGAGCCAAAACGTTCCAAAACGGAGGCATTAGGGATCCGAGGTTAGACTGGAAATCCCTTTCTGTCTGTAAGGATGCAGAAGGCCACATGTGAAAGCCGGCCTCAATTTGCTGCCCTCTCGCTCGTGTTTTGAGAGGGATCAGACTTTGCTCTCTGAAGGCAGGAGATTTCAGGGGAAGCAGATTCCATCTACATGCTGGAGAAACGTGACATAAGGTGCTTTATATGTCGGCCCAATGAATCTGCCTTGTCTGCTGTGACTGACAGCAGCTCTCCAGGGTTTCAGAAAGATTTTTTTTTTCCTGGGTGCCCCTTATTAACCAAGGCCTCTCTGATATTTTGGTTTGTGGGATTCTTGCAAGGAGCAGAACTTGCATCTCACAAGCCTCAATGCAGCTACCACCCTCCAAACCCGCCAAAGGCCTTATGGATGGGGTCCCTGATTAAGCCACAGTCAGAGGGATGGCTAACACTGGTTCTGTTGATTTCGATATTGCACTCAGTGGGTTCTACTCTGTATATTTAATTACATATTTAAATGCATTTTTTCAGATGTAACAGTAAGCAGAAAACAACTGGTGCCTCCATGCCTAGTGCAAAAGGAGACTCGCTTTATGGAAATGGGGAACATTTTTTTACAATGTAACAACTGTGGATAGGCCTTTAAAAAAAGAAGAAAAAGCCAAAGGCAGTTTCATACTGTGCTTAATTTTTCTTCAATATTTTGTTTTTGCAAGAATTGGCTCACTCATTCTCCTATACTCCCTCCCCCCCCTTAGCATTCTCATAACCCTGGCATGGAATCCTCTTTCCTCTAGTGACATTTCATATCTTATTGTGTGTGTGTTTTGCATTCAATTAACTTCAACATGCTTTTGCACTGCAGTGTGTGTGTGTTTTAAAAAAACCCTTGACATGCATTATTAATGTTACCTCATCAAAGGCTCCTAGAGAGATCTTTTTATTTTTAAAGAATAAGCAATAGTTATTGCAATTTAAATTGAGATAGAATGGACTGCGGGGGGGAGGGGGGAGGAGAGAGAGATGATTGCAAAGAAATCCAGAGGCTAACTGCGTCAGGAAACAAAAGGCAATTGTTCATGGCAACTAAGAATTCTGAAATTCAATTCTTTTCATGGTGGGAATCCATGGTTTAATTAATGGCTACCAGTTATCATCTGCAAAGAGACAGGATGGATAAGCATTTCAGGTAGTAGTTTCAAGACAATGGCCTATTCGTTTTCCTGCCCTGCTGTTCAGAAGCAATGCTGAGCAGGTTATTCATGTGTACAATCATTATATATGAAAAAACCACCAATATTTCTGTTTCATCCTGCTGAGCAGGTTATTCATGTGTACAATCATTACACATGGAACAACCACCAGTATTTCTGTTTCATCCAGAAATGCCTGCCATAGATAAACAAATCTCAGCCAAACAACCATTTTGGTCAGATGTGGTATGTCTGAAAGGAATATAGGGTGAGAGAGATTTTGAAATCTCTTTAGAGCAGTTCAATGAGTTGTTTATGTTCATGTAAAGCGTGTTCTCCTTCATGGAGAGCACGTGTTGTGGTGGGGTCTGCTGAGCCACCCCTCTGTTACCAGGCAGGGTCTCTAAAGATGGCCTGGGGCAGTGATTGGTTCTTTGGGTTGCTGGGGTAAAAGTTATGTTGCAATTTTGGTGGGAGGGGTAAAATGTTTAAATACTCTGCACGCAGCCTGGAGCTTTCTCTTTGCTGCGTGCAACGGATCACCCGCCCACCCGCCCTTGAGTAAGGGGTTGTTGCATTGACCTTGCTATGCCTGTCATGGGGTCGTCTGCCGTTGGGGCAGGGACCTGGTAGGAATTTTGTCCATCTGGCTGATTGGCTGGGCCATTTGGTTTTTGCCTACTGCGTAGCAAATCGTCACAACTTGTAAGGTTGTGGTTAGGCATTGGTTATAAATTGGTGGAGGAGGGGTTAGGATAGGCTGGGCCTGCCCCTCCATGGTTGCTGCGGAAAGGGAATTCCGTTAAAGGAATCCTGGGGCTTGCCATCTTTTCGTCCAATCCATGGAATGGGACTAGGGCCGGCAAGCCTTCGGGGAGCATGCGGATGAGAATTGAGGGTCTGTGACTCAGCTCCATTTCTCCCCGACTTGCTTTCCCCCGCACTGTCTTTCGGTGGTGCCCGGAAGTCAGTTCTGTCCCCAGGCGGGGGGACAGATAGTCTTAACCAATGCCTAAACAACCACTCACGGTTTTGTATTTAAATAAAGTTGTGGCCAAAATTATGCCAAAAACCTCAAACAAAAATTAAGTGTGTGTTGTGAGTTATTTGGGGGGTGGCTTGGGGACATTGACACGCAACTGATGGCTAACATGTGTAACCAAGTATGCACACCTCAAGAATGTGCACATCAGCTGAGCATGAAGAGAGAATTGTGTCCATTTCTCAGTCAGTAGTGGTTTTAGTTTCTTCACAAACTAATTGTTGTGTGGAGAATAGGGCAAGGGGAGAGGTTGCTCAAAGCTGTGGCAGGAAATGAAATGATTTAACCATTGCAGTCAAGGACCCCACACACTTCACATTAAAACCTCAGACAGACCTGCATGTACATAGCGCGCAGCTTGACCCTTACATGTTAAGACAGGTGTGTGGAAAGACTTGCAAGAGTTGTTGCAAGTAGCCAAAGAGGCCATGGCAGCTTGAAACAAGATTAGTCATCACCCTTGTCGGTCACCAATATTAGCAGGCTGCTTAATTTCAATTCCAATCTATCACCCCGCTGTCTTCATCAGCAGACTAGCATTCGAGCAGGAAAAGTGCATGAAAATGGCAACAGGGATGGCTAAGCACCAATCTCATGGACTTGAATTCAGCAAGAAAAGAGATGTTGTTGTTTAGTCGTATAGTCATGTCCGACACTTTGTGACCCCATGGACCAGAGCACGCCAGGCACTCCTGTCTTCTACTGCCTCCCGCAATTTGGTCAAACTCATGTTAGTAGCTTCGAGAACACTGTCCAACCATCTCGTCCTCTGTCGTCCCCTTCTCCTTGTGCCCTCCATCTTTCCCAACATCAGGGTCTTTTCCAGGAGTCTTCTCTTCTCATGAGGTGGCCAAAGTATTGGAGCCTCAGCTTCACGATCTGTCCTTCCAGTGAGCACTCAGGGCTGATTTCCTTAAGAATGGATACGTTTGATCTTCTTGCAGTCCATGGGACTCTCAAGAGTCTCCTCCAGCACCATAATTCAAAAGCATCAATTCTTCAGCGATCAGCCTTCTTTATGGTCCAGCTCTCACTTCCATACATCACTACTGGGAAAACCATGGCTTTTACTATACGGATCTTTGTTGGCAAGGTGATGTCTCTGCTTTTTAAGATGCTGTCTAGGTTTGTCATTGCTTTTCTCCCAAGAAGCAGGTTTCTTTTAATTTCGTGACTGCTGTCACCATCGGCAGTGATCATGGAACCCAAGAAAGTAAAATATCTCACTGCCTCTATTTCTTCCCCTTCTATTTGCCAGGAGGTGATGGGACCAGTGTCCATGATCTTAGTTCTTTTGATGTTGAGCTTCAGAGCATATTTTGCGCTCTCCTCTTTCACCCTCATTAAAAGGTTCTTTAATTCCTCCTCACTTGCTGCCATCAGGGTTGTGTCATCTGCATATCTGAGGTTGTTGATATTTCTTGTGGCTATCTTAATTCTGGCTTGGGATTCATCCAGTCCAGCCTTTCACATGATGAATCTGCATATAAGTTCAATAAGCAGGGAGACAATATACAGCCTTGTCTTATTCCTTTTCCCAATTTTGAATCAATTAGTTGTTCCGTATCCAGTTCTAACTGTAGCTTCTTGTCCCACATAGAGATTTCTCAGGAGACAAATGAGGTGATCAGGCACTCCCATTTCTTTAAGAACTTGCCATAGTTTGCTGTGGTCAACACAGTCAAAGGCTTTTGCGTAGTCAATGAAGCAGAAGTAGATGTTGTTGTTTTTTCTGGAAGAAAGGAGTTCTTACTTCACAAATGGATCTAACGCTATATATTGGAAGTGATTGGAAGCCCTTGTATTGACAGAGCTTTGGAATGTACCCAGTGCCTTCCAATATGAATGCAACATTAATCAACCCATGCAGACATTAAATCACAAAGGCATAAAAGTCTTTATTATGAATGATAGAAGACAGCGCATCCTGCCTTGCCTATAACCAGAAATGATCTTCTTAAGATATTATCAAGCTCTTTTCAGGTTTTCTAACCCCCTACGGAAAATCAGTTGGGGGAGAGCAATCCTGCCCACCCCATCCTGCAGTTACATTACTTGTCACTCTTCACAAGTCAGAGAAAAATGTTTGTAACGGGGCACTTTATTTACTTCTGCAATATCCTGATGGGATTTATAAGCCCCGGAAGATCAGGGTTCTAAAAACACGTAAAGTTATCTCTTGTGGAAGATGATAGGAAATAGGGTGCTGATGCCCATTTTCCCTCAGGTCAGGGATGAAAACAGCTGAATGATTACTCTGTATAAATAACAGAGGGGAGACTTATTTGCACTTCAACTGGTCTGACCCAAAATGGCCTCCCAAAATTCATTCCCCTATTTGTAGGCAGCAAAATTGGACGGCGGGATGAGAGAAGGATTTTGCTATTATTATTATTTCTAAGCGAAGGGGGTCCCCCCCCCCACTTTAGCTCCACTTGTCCTGAAAGCAGCTTGCAGTTACCTGCACCTGCAGAATTTCTGTGAGGTACAACTGTTTTCAAACTTTTCATCCCAAATGACGTTTTCTCTTAACATAGTGTAAAGTTACCAGATGCCCCTGTTTCCCGGGGACAGTCCCCGGACAAAATCCATCTATTTAGAAGGAAGTTGAAAAGTGTCCCTGGATTCACTGAAAAAAAAATCTGGTAACCTTAAATAGTGGGCTACACCAAGGTTTTTTCTCAAAAGCTCCATATTTTATGTAAAACATAGGCGATCACTATCACAGCAAAGTATTTGGTGAGGGGGAAGGCCTAAGGTTACAGTGGTCTAAGAAGGGAAATGGATTGTTAAGAAAGGTAAGGTCTTACCAGCAGGAAAGATGGACAGCCATATCAGCAGGACACTTCAAATAGTCTGGCTGAATTGTGTCTCAAAATCACTTTGATTTAATATTCTAGCACATTGTGGTTTTGGAGTATACGTCACTGTCCCAGGGGGGTCACTTACTTTTGTTTTGTTTTATTTAAAAGAAACCCTTATACTGGCTATTTTAGGAAGCAGCCATCTTGGGTTCATGTGCACACAGCAAGCAATTGTTTATTTCATTTGCAATCTAACTCATTTTTTAATCTTGCACAGATGCCTTCAAAATAACATATGAGCATCGTTAAAATCCCGCCAGGAGTTACAATGTCAACTACCAGTGTTGATGACAGTGTGGTAGCCACCTTAATAAAATTGTCCCTAAATGACATGAAGAAGAACAATTCAAAATACTGGCTGGAGAAGTTCTGAGTGTGAGACAATATTTCCTAACAATAAATCACTTTTACTAATAAAGCCATACTACAACAGTTTAGCAAGGTTCTTAGAAACTCTAGCAGATATTTAAATGTCTGTGGATGCCTTTTCACATATGTTCAATATGGCTTAGCAATTCATTATACTCAAAAACAATATATATTTATTGTTATCCTTGTTTAACCAGTTCAAGTTTCAGTTTACTTTAGTCATCTAATAACTGTTATCTCAACAACTTAGCTGTCATAAATCTAATTTTTCTCTAAACATCTAAAATATTTTCTCAAGTTAGCTTCCAGTGCCTTATAATTGCAATAAAATGAAAAGTTTCAATCACTTCAAAAAGTTCATAACATTGTTCACAGTGTCCCAAAAGTAGTTCATAGGACTCATTAAGCTCATACATTTTTAATTCAGCCAAATTAGATTTAGTTCATTTAATATCACCCTGGTTTCAACAGAAGTCCAACAACAGTCAAGGCATTTAAAAACTACCGTACTTTTGAAGTACAAAAAGCAACTTGGTTTTATGGTACAGAGATCCACTAGTTAGTTCCAGCAAATCACGCACGTTTACTCTTGCAATTTAGTTTCATAATTTGGTTTACCTCATGCTCTTTATAGGCAATAAAATAATTCAACTGCACGCCATTTTCAATATTAGGTTGTTATTTTTTTGAGTGGAGAAGGGGAGTATCAAGATCCAACATTTTTGCCATCATTTACTGTTATATCATATTCATAGCTGTCAATGTTTCCATTTTTTAAAAGGAATTTCCCTTATTCTGAGTAGGATTCCTCGCAAGAAAAGAGAAAAGTTGACAGCTATGACCATATTTCTGAAAAATTCAGGCCTCACAACACAACAATATGCCACCAATTTTTTTCATCCGGGCCTCAGGCCTGCTGGGTAAGACCACACTGCTTTAGGAAACTGATACAGGGCTACCATGCTCAGATAACTTGGGCTCTTCACCTCCTCTTTCCCTCTTTTAAAAAGAAATTTTAAAGGGGGTGGGAATGTGTTCCCACAAAAAAGGCTCAAATGATTTTCCAGGAAACTGGAAGGTGTTCGGTAAACCATCCTGCCTCTTGACACTGCCTCTTGTTATGTTGCACACCTGCTAAAAGACATACACAAGCTCCCCGATGCCCAACTCCAACCCCTTGAGGCGTGGTCAAGGACTTTGAATGCCTCAATGCACCACAATCTTGCTCCTATTGGCCCGGAGTTAGTGGTTGAAGACTGTGTTAAAGAGGTTAGAGATTTAGCCTATTCAGAATCGTTCAGGTTTTAAGAGAGACCAATAACAGTCCTCGCCAAGTAAGTCCAGGCCTTTCAAGGCTAGTTCTCCGAGGCGCAAGCAAGGTCTTTGGATGCCCTGATGCTCTACAACAGGCATCCCCAAACTTGGCCCTCCAGCTGTTTTGGGACTACAATTCTCATCATCCCTGAACACTGGTCCTGTTAGCTAGGGATGATGCAAGTTTTAGTTCCAAAACAGCTGGAGGGCCAAATTTGGGGATGCCTGCTCTACAACCTTGCTCCTTTGTCAGCCAGAAACTAAAGGCACTAAAGAGCTTCTATATCAGCCTAGCCTTGCTGAGAATTAGCAGCCACACAGTACAGTATTACCTCGGGTTAAGAACTCAATTCGTTCTGGAGGTTCGTACTTAACCTGAAACTGTTCTTAACCTGAGGTACCACTTTAGCTAATAGGGCCTCCCGCTGCCGCTGTGCCACCGCTGCACGATTTCTCTTCTCATCCTGAAGCAAAGTTCTTAACCCGAGGTACTATTTCTGGGTTAGTGGAGTCTGTAACCTGAAGCGTCTGTCACCCGAGGTACCACTATATGTGCATGCGCATAATGCCACTCTCTCAGCGTCTCCCTCTGCCCCCACCCGTAAATGAAATCCTACTCATTTATGGTGGCTGGGGAAACCCAGCCAGATGGGTGAGGTATAAATAAATTATTATTATTATTATTATTATTATTATTATTACGGAGATCTCCTCAAGGCCAGGTGGGAATAGCAATGCTTCCAGTACCCGCAGAGACAGTTGTTGTTCGTTTAAAAATATATATAATTGTATAAATTTACAGATAGCACCAGTAACATAAATAGATGTCTTTAAAGCCTAATATTTTCTGTATTTGAATTACAATATTACAAACAGTATCTCTTCCTGCCAACCCCCCTCTTTGCGGCTCCTGCCCTCAACCACACATCCTCCTGGCTCATCTTTCGATCTTTTTAAGATCCCAGTGTTTCCAACGAGCCATGTCTCCTCTTGACCAGCCACCAAGCCAGACACAATTTGCAGCAATTTGCTTCCTTATGCTATATATCCTTTGTGGGTGCTATCCTTTCTCCCCTTCACATCTTTTCTGGGAACTCAGGTGAAAGCACGAGGTCGCAGCCCAAAGCCAGGCTTCTCAGTACCATTAGCCTGTGTGGAACTGTTGTGCAAGGCCCTCAGTCAACTGCTCTGAATCAGCAGGTGGGCTGGGCTTAGGAATAGACATGCATTCCAGGTGTGCTGGGTGTGGCCAGGCACACCCCAATGTCTCAAAGAAGAAGAAGAAGCGGTTTTGTGTTTTAATTTAATTGCGTGATATGCTGATTTGCGCACCAAGCCTCTATGAAATCATCTGCGTGTGCTTAATTATCTTGACAATCCACTCCAATTTATTTCTCTCCTTAATAAAGGGAGATCGGGTAAGAGATAAGAGGGAGGAGCAAAAATTTGGTATTTTGTGTCTTATTTATGTAAAGTTTGTTCATGTGAAAAGATTAGCTTGATTAATAAAAGTAGTCATTTATGACTACGTATTCAAACAATGTTCACCTTTAAAATAAAATTAAAAGGTGCACTTCAGGTAAACTCAAAACAGGAACAGATTTATTTAAGTTTAGATAATATTTAGTAGGAACATAAGAGTCCATCTGCATGGACCAATGCTGCATCTAGCCCAGTATCCCACAGTGTCTAGCTAGAAATTGCTGGGATGTGCGCAAGCAGGACACATTGCCCTTAGCACCTGGTGTTCAGGACCACCATTTCTTTATATATATCAACCAAATTTTACTTAAAGTTGTTGTTGTTTAGTCATTTAGTCGTGTCTGACTCTTCGTGACCCCATGGACTAGAGCACGCCAGGCACTTCTGTCTTTCACTGCCTCCCGCACTTTGGTCAAACTCATGCTGGTAGCTTTGAGAACACAATCCAACCATCTCGTCCTCTGTCGTCCCCTTCTCCTTGTGCCCTCCATCTTTCCCAACATCAGGGTCTTTTCCAGGGAGTCTTCTCTTCTCATGAAGCGGCCAAAGTATTGGAGCCTCAGCTTCAGGATCTGTCCTTCCAGTGAGCACTCAGGGCTGATTTCCTTAAGAATGGATAGGTTTGATCTTCTTGCAGTCCATGGGACTCTCAAGAGTCTCCTCCAGACCATAATTCAAAAGCATCAATTCTTCGGCGATCAACCTACTTAAAGTTAGGTATGGGCAAATCTGTGAATTCCAGTTTCTCTATCCATTTACCCACCCTCAATCAGTGCTTTTTTCTAAAAAAATATATAAAATATTTAGGGGTACTCTAATTTTCCTACTCATACTGAAATACTGCCCCTAACCCTAACCCTAACCCCAAACTCAGATTAACAAAATATTTAGGGGTGTGTGTACCCCTGCGTACACCCCAGAAAAAAGCACTACCCCCAATTATCCATTTTCTGCATTTCCACAGCATTTTTGCAATTTTTTTAAAAAATGAAGTCCACATGAAAATTCATCAACCTTTTAATGCAAATTTCAGCTGTGATGTATGAGTTAGAGACGTGCAAATTTAAATGGGAGTCCTTGCTCCACGGCATCTGGGCTCACACTGGCTTTCTCCTCCAACTCAGCTATATATGAAGTATCAAATGCATCCCCTTGATCCAGGAACTACAGTGGTACTTCTGTTTGTGGATGGGATCCGTTCTGGAGCTCTGGTCAGATCCTGAGGTTTCCGCAACCAAAGGTGCATGTTCTACGCATTGCTTCTCCACAAGGATTTTTGGAACTGCAGTTTACCATTCAAAGAGCTGCAGTTCCAGCCTCCTTAACAACAGAAAAGTGCCCAGATCAATGGAAGACAACAACACAATGAAATTCAAAACAGTAACAATTTATTGCATGTTTATTCAAAATCCATTAAAAACTATTTAGTTTAAGTAATGCAAGAAAATCGATCAGCTTGATCCAGTGAGACAAGAGAGAGCCATTTTCTTTCCTTCTTTCTTTCTTTCTTTCTTTCTTTCTTTCTTTCTTTCTTTCTTTCTTGTTCTGCCCAATCTCAGTCCATATTTCATGGCTGCTTAAATCATCTGTCCCCCTCCTGATTCTCAGTGAGTGCCTCTTCTTCTGCCAGTCTTTGGCCAGTTGAGACATCCAAATGGAGCAGCAATTCCTTCAAGGAGGAAAATCATAACTCCTCGATGATGATGTCATCTGGATGGAAAAGAATGAAAAAGAGAGAAAATCTGTTCAGTCCTCTCCGCTTCTTGTAGCTGGAGTCAGTCTGGGTGCTGCCCTCCCAGGCCAGGTGGGAAAGGCCTGCCAGGCAGGGAGCAGGTCCTGCAGGACTCCCAGCAAGAAGACCTGGGAGGTGTGTCTTGGGCAAACAAGGGACAAGGGAGTTCACTGTCCCCAAGATGTGGGGCTTACCTTCTTTCAGATTATTCCTGAAACAAGCCAGCTCCGGCCGAATTACTGTGTTCTGCAGAGGAAAGACAAATCTGAGTCAGCTGACACTATGAACCCCACCCTGGATGGGTGTAAGAGAAGCAGCCCCACCCAGGAAGGATGGAAGCAACCAAAGAACTGAATACAGGCAGGCAAAATACTTACTCTTAGGTTTGGGAATCTTTGTGAAAGGGCCAGCAGCAGGGAAATACTGCTGGCCCCTAATTTTCTTTGGTCTTCACTCCCCAAAAGGGCGTAATATCAGAGGTCCTGCGGGATGAAAGAAATGGGACAGTTAGTTGGGTAAGGGACTGGGGGGGGCAACCCTAAAACCACTCCTGATGCTATCAGGATACTTACGGTAAGCAACTGGAGAAGGGTGCTAGTATTGGGGGCTTCTAGGAGGAGACCCCCCAGCAGGCTCTGGAATGGCCTCTTTAGTTCCTGTGGGAAAAGAGAAAAGAGAGGTTGAGTGCTGCTGGGTTAAATTTTGTAAGAGTGTGGGAAGAAGAAAGAGCTGTGCAAAGAGAACTTAAAGCAGAGGACATACCTCTTTGTCCTCCTCTGCGCTCCCCAGAACTGCCTCTGTTGTTCTATGGAGGATAGCGCTCACCATAGAGGGACTGAAGTGGGGTCTCATAAAACTGGAGAGAGAAAGGGAAGGGGTTAGACACTGCCTCCTCCAAGTCTCCCTTGACCCTTCTCCCTCCTGCCTGACTTGCCCACCCAAAGCTCCCCCTGGAGTTCTGTCCCCCTGCAGCCCCGCCCACCCCAAAGATCCCACTCACCTCAACTGCAGGAGGGCCTCGAAGGCCAGGGCCAGGCTCAGGGGGCGATCCCTGAAGTACTCCAAGTGGACAAGAATGTTCTAGAAGAGAGCAGAGGAGGAAAGTCAGCTCCTTCCAGGAGTCTCCAGAGGGCGGCTCCAATCCCAAAAGCCAGCCCCTCTCTGTCCCTCCCTCCCCATGGGGGTCCCTCACACCACCCATCACTCACCAGAATGGCTTTGGTTGTCTCCTCCTTGGAGTACTTCAGGGTTCGGAGCCCCCTGAGCCGAGCTGCCTGGCAGTCCTGGATGATGCCCAGGAGATACAGCTGATCTTTGTCTAGCAGCTGAAAGGCAAAAGTCAGGCTGTCAGTTCCTTGTGGGGGGAGGGCTCCTCCACATCTGAGAGTGCAGAGTGGAGTGCAAGAGGGGGGCAGGTCTGAGGGATCCCCTCCCTGCTCTCGTTTTATCCAATACTCACTGCAGCGGAAGGGATGTGGATTCCTAGCACATCTGCAAAGTGAAGGACATGGGGACAGGTGAGTTCATCCCTGAGCCCTTGCAAGGCTTTTCCAAGAGTTTTCTCCTGGATTCCAAGTCCAGGATTCCACGTACAGGAGAAGGACACCCCAGGCCTTGGGGGCCAATCCTGACCTCCTGCCCCCAGAACATGGCTCCCCAGGGAAGGTGCCCCTCCCGCTGACAACTGCCCCCCTGTCTTGCCCCACAGCCCAGCCCCCTGATTCTCCCATCAGACCCCACAAAACGGTGTGGTTGCTGGGGGGGGGCATGTTTTCCAGATGCTGTCGCAGATAGGCGGGTTGGAACCAGCCGTCTGGCTCTGTGCATCTTTTTACTAGATGCCCCCCTAGCCCATTCCTGCCCTCCTCCGACCCCAAAAGGAGGGCCACTTGCTCACCCGACACCGCGGGCTGCTCCAGGACTTCTAGGGGGGCCACCTTGTTGCAGCTGATCAGCCGCCTTAAGCGCCTGAACCTAGAAGAGATGAACAGAGGGAGCGACTCAGAAGCCGGCAGTCCCAATTCGGGGTGTGTGTGTATGAGGAGGGGCGTCTGGCCCAATTCCTGCCATCTCTCTGCAGTTCTGCGACCTGAAAGGGCATCGCCAGAGCTGAAAAGAGGCAGCCCAGAGCACGAAGGGCTGGCAGAGAGAGAAAGGAGGTCCCAAGTGCTATGGGTTTTAGAGCTCCAGCCCAAAGGAAAGACAAGCCTTGCCAGCTGTTAAAGGGCTGCTCTGCCTCGTCTTCTTAGGACAGCCCTGCCCTTCCTTGGTGAGGGAGGAGACCCCTAGGAGGGTCCTCCAAACATCAAGGTGTCCCAGAAGAGGAGCAGAACATGAGGAAGGGGGTGGAGTCTTCCTTGGAGCCAGAGAGACCCCCAGGAAGGGGGAGAAGTCCAATATTGTAGGGCAGCTGGAGAGATGCAAAATGGAGCCAGGCAGAGGTGTAGTGGTTGGAGGGCTGGACTGGGAGGACCTGGGAGAGCAGGGTTCAAATCTCCACTCAGCCATGAAGCTCCCTGGTGGACCAGAGAGCTGAAGCTGTGGAGGGGACCCCAGGACTCACACCCTGCCCCCAGGAGACCAAGAGAAAGCAAAGGAATGGTACTTACAGTCTGCACATCTTTACAAAAAATCCCCCCCTCCTTTCTAAGCTAACTACCTATCTAAAATTCCCACCCAAGCCTGATACCAAACTCTGATCCCACCCCACCCCCAAACCTAGCCCTAACCCCAAACCTAACCCCCACCCTAACCCTACACTTACCCCTAACTATTTTTCTATAAACAAAAGAAATATATTCAAAAATGCGCACAAATGAGTGCAAATACACACAAATATGCACAAATACGCAAATATGCACAAATACGCAGAAATGCGCGCAAATACGCACAAATATGAAAATAAATAAATAAAAATAAATAAAAATAAAAACAAATAAAAAATAAAAAATAAAAAATAAAACAAACAAATAAATAAAAACAAAAAATAAAAACAAACAAATAAAAAGTAAAAAGTAAAAAATAAAAAGTAAAAAGTGAAATAAAAGTGTTAAAATAAAAAAGGTAAAATAAAAAATAAAATAAAAATAAATCAAATAAAATGAATCAAATAAAAGTAATAAATAAAATAAAAAGAAAAATAGCAAGCAAACCTCTCCTCTTCTACAACCACCACCACCACCACTACCTCTCTCTCCTGATCTCTCCTCACTAACCCACAATGGCCACCTGCAAGTCAAAGGCTTTTAAGGGAAGAGCAAGAGATGTCACAAAGGAGGGCAGGTCCTTGTCACCAAGGCAACCCCTCCACCTGGATCTGGCCCCTCCTGAGAGGTGATGCTTCTCTGTCAAAACTTGGAGGCACCTTCTGTTCCGACTGCTGCTGGGCTGTATCTTCTATCCACAGATTCACATCAGCATTTCACATCCTTCTTTCTGCAACCCCATTTCCAAAGGGAGACCACCCCCACATCCTTCAAGGCAGGCTAGGGGTCTCCATAGCGCAGCATTGGACCATCTGCTTTGCATGCAGGCCTTCTGTCCTGGGAATGCCCCCCCCCATTCGAAACCCTGGATAGCTGCTGCCAGTCAGCGCAGGCTAGTTGAAGAAGGATATTGAGCAGCTGGAAGGTGAGCAGAGGAGGGCGACCAGGATGATGAAGGGTCTGGAAACCAAGCCTGATGAGGAACAGTTGAGGCAGCTGGGTATGTTCAGCCTGGAGAAGAGGAGAGAGGAAAGCCATCTTCCAATATCTGAGGGCTGCAAGAGGGAGCAAGCTTCTTTTCTGTTGCTCCAGAGGGGAGGGCAGGAGAGGAGATTCAGACTAAACATTAGCAAGAACTTTCTGACGGTAAGACTATCTGGGACGGTGGTGGACTCTCCTTCCTTGGAGGCTTTTAAGCAGAGGTTGGATGCCAATCTGTGAGGCATTTAGCTTCAATTTGGGGAGCGCATGGCACTGGCCTACTTTACAGGGTTGTTGTAACCACACAAGGCTGCTGAGCATCTGAAAGTGCCTGGCAAATGTTGAGCCTTCCATTTCATTGTGAGGAACAGCTGCAGTGCTTCAGGAGGCGTCCCTCAACTTCTGTCCAGAGGGGCCAGGCTGGATTACCAAATAGGCAGAGTAGGCACTGGCCTATGAGCCCCACACTTTTTAGGGGTCCCATGACAATGGATCAAAATAAGATTGATTTGATCTTGAAAGAAAACAACAATCAAGCTTTCTTAGTTCAAGGTTATTCCAGTGTGCGCACGAGGCCTGCCCCCTGCCCAGATTTTGGCTGCCAAGGGGCCTCCACAGGGTTTAATCCAGCACTGCCCCATGAACAGCCCAGTATACCTGAAGGAGCGTCTCCACCCCCATCGTTCAGCTCCATCCCCACCCACTGAGGTCCAGCTCCGAGGGCCTTTTGGCAGTTCCCTCACTGTGAAGTATTCCCTGGTTACAGGGAACCAGACAGAGGGCCTTCTCGGTAGTGGCACCCACCCTGTGGAACGCCCTCCCATCAGATGTCAAGGAAATAAACAACTGTCTGACTTTTAGAAAACATCTGAAGCAATTTCCCCAAATACTTTCGTATGCTATTTTCACTAACCAATACAACACTAGGCACATTTTACTTGGAAAACTGCACTGAAAAACCTGAAGTATAGCTGCTTTGGAGCTTGCACTTTGGTGAGAAGTACGTATTAGGCACTTTCTCACTGAAATGCAACCAAAGTTGAGTTCTCCCTCCATGATAAGGTGGTATGAACACTATAATTATATCTCCCAATTTCAGTCTCATGCAAAAATATTTCAGGCCATATACAGCCAATGATGGGCAAAAGAAACAATGGTTAATATAATATAGTACATAATATAGTACATAATATATAAAAAAAGGTAAAGGTAAAGGTACCCCTGCCCGTACGGGCCAGTCTTGACAGACTTTAGGGTTGTGCGCTCATCTCACTCTATAGGCTGGGAGCCAGCGCTGTCCGCAGACACTTCCGGATCACGTGGCCAGCGTGACAAGCTGCATCTGGCGAGCCAGCGCAGCACACGGAACGCCATTTACCTTCCCGCTGGTAAGCGGTCCCTATTTATCTACTTGCACCCGGAGGTGCTTTCGAACTGCTAGGTTGGCAGGCGCTGGGACCGAACGACGGGAGCACACCCCGCCGCGGGGATTCGAACCGCCGACCATGTGATCGGCAAGTCCTAGGCGCTGAGGTTTTACCCACAGCGCCACCCGCATCCCCCCATGTACATAATATAGTCCATAATATAATAATATAATATAATATAATATAATATAATAATATAATATAATATAGCAGTCATCTGAACCTGTCTCTGGCAGTAATCAAGACTCACAGACACCTTGTAAGGCAGGGAACAGAAATAAAGAAAAACATCGCAGTAAATATGTCAGCCAAGCAGTTTGGACTCCTAAAGTTTATGTTGCCATGGAAGCCAAATGCAACATTTGGTATATCCAAACTGGCTTTTGGTGGCCAATGCAGCCAGAAGTACAATAAACCTGTAATTCCTCAGGATGTCTGCCTTCACTAGGTGCATCACAACAGCTTCTGAGCTACAAATCTCCCTCTTTGGCTGTTTGCGCTTCTTCCTGAGAGAGGGGGTCTTACAGTTAATTTCAAACGCAATTAAAGTTCAAAGATTTACCGCGGTGATGGGGGTCTCCTCCAGATGTTCCAGCTTACTACTAGCATCAGTCCCAGCTGGCGGGGCCAACAGACAGGGATGATGGAAACTATGGTCCCAAGCAACCAGAAAACCAAGGAGACAGCGCTAACAGGAAAAGATGCTAGCTGCTTGAGGAAAGATTCCATTCAGGCCTGACACATTTCAGAGTACGGTCAAACCTTGGTTCCCGAATGGCTTAGTTGCTGAACAAATCGCCTCCCGAATGCAGCAAACCTGGAAGTAGGTGTTCCGGTTTGCGAGCTTTTTTTGGAAGCCGAACGTCCGACGCGGTTTCCGCTTGAGTGCAGGAAGCTCCTGCAGCCAATTGGAAGCTGCGCCTTTGTTTTCGAATGGTTTCGGGAGTCGAACAGATTCCTGGAACGGATTAAGATCAAGAGCCAAGGTACCACTGTCGTCATCATAAACTTTATTGCACTAGCCAAAGGCCATGGCATCATTCACAAAGGAAACAAAAAGAAAACCAACAATAACCATAAAAACACCAGGCACTGCAAATACAATAAACCACGGTCATGTCTCCTAGAAATTATTTGTTGCATACGATAGAACAGCAGGGGGTTCTCAGATAGAATGTGCCAGCTTAAATGTCTGAATCAGCTTTGCAATTGGCCGCTATTTTATCTAGTTTTCTCCAGATCTACGTGAGGGAAATTTACAGGTATGTTGTAATGTGGGGAGTCCTAAATTTCCCCTTAAAAAGTCCCACAAGTGACATATGCATTAGCCCCACAAGGCTGCATTCTTGCTTATGAGTAAGCCACACTGAACAGGATCAGGTTCGCTTCTGAGAAAATATGCAGGGAATTTCAATCACATGATTATATCTGGGCTTCACATATAAGGTTTGTGTTGCAGCATTAAATTTGATCTCACTCTGGCTCCATGAGAAAGAATCAAAGGGTTCCCCTCTCATTTCAAAACTATAAATGCACATTACTGAATACTGGCTGACATCTTCTGGTAAACTTGGGGAATACTTTCCAAACATTAAAAGTAAAGCAAAAAATGTGAGCTGTATATTATTTTACCGACCTAGTCATTGCTCGAAAGGTGGGGGGAACCACTAAGTCGAATGGGGCTTATTCCCAAATGGAATTGTATAGGATTGTAGCAATGGTATATATTATGACAGTACCTTATTGCTAAGCTTTTCCAGGCATTATGTGTTCAAGATAGCTTCCTTAACTGCTAAAACACTAACACAATACCAGAAGCGTTTTAGAACAACTTCATTTTCAATTTAATTTGAATTGGCACTGTTTAGAAATCTTCAGCATTTGATTCTCCAGAGTGTAAACCAGTCCTTAGTTGCAACTGAAGCATGCGTCCAAGAGATTCCTATACAGTGGTACCTCGGGTGACATATGCTTCAGGTTACATACGCTTTAGGTAACAGACTCTGCTAACCCAGAAGTAGTACCTCGGGTTAAGAACTTTACCTCAGAATGAGAACAGAAATTGTGCGCCTGCAGAGCGGCAGCAGCGGGAGGCCCCATTAGCTAAAGTGGTACCTCAGATTAAGTATGTTTTCAGGTTAAGAACGGACCTCCGGAACAAATTAAGTTCTTAACCAGAGGTACCACTGTAAATGTCAGGAAGTGAGTGAGTGAGAGGCAATGGAGGACAAACTTTAGCACTACTTTCAAACAGTGCAGGAAGAGGAGTATTTAAAACTGAAAACTCAAATATTTCATTGAAGGAAACGAAGATGCACGTTATTATTGCACTCACCGCTTCCCTTATTACACTTTGCTAGAGGCTTCTACCTGCTAGGTTATGCTGAATAGTTGTTTCTCAGTAAAAGGCTGGCCTTGTTGTCATTTAGTCGTTTAGTCATGTCCGACTCTTTGTGACTCCATAGACCAGAGCATGCCAGGCACTCCTGTCTTCCACTGCCTCTCACAGTTTGGTCAAACTCATGTTAGTGAACACTGTCCAACCATCTCGTCTTCTGTCGTCCCCTTCTCCTTGTGCCCTCAATCTTTCCCAACATCAGGGTCTTTTCTGGGGCATCTTCTCTTCTCATGAGGTGGCCAAAGTTTTGGAGCCTCAGGAACTGGCAAGCCACTCCAGTGTCCCTGCCAAGAAAACACCATGGACAAAGGCTGGCCTACACTGACTTTATTGAGGTAAATTAGATGGTAGGATGGTATGAATTGTGTCATACTTGTGTGTGTGTGTGTGTGTGTGTGTGTGTACATGTGCATCCTTCCCCTCAAAAAGAAAAACAAAACAAAAAACACTTTCCCCAGAAGTTTCCCCATGTGTTTTATTTTAGTACAGAATGTATTATTTATGGGGGAAATTTATTATATAGCCTGTTACATTTGTCTTCTGCTTTTCTCTCCTGTTTCTGCTATCTCCTGCAGTGTGGAAATCTAAACTGGAATCCCCTCGGGGTTTGGATTCTTTATTTGTTTTTCTATAGTAGAATGATGTGTCTTAGTTGAAGTAACAAGAACAAATATAATTTGCAGGTAACATGGTTATTTCCATACATCTCAAGATGGCACATAGCTCTCAGGACAGTGGATCAGGCCTTCTCAATTCCCTTTTAGACGTGTGAACCCTTTGCCCCATGAATGAATGGTTTCCCCTCTCCCCTTACTGTCCCCCCCCTATTGCTTATTTAAATTTTATTTCCATCAGGCTTTTATTTTACAAACTAGGCTGTGCTTTTCCACTTGGCTTTAACTTCAGATCCTCGATCAATGATTAATATATATATTAATTATTATAATCATTTAAAATGCTAATTTTAAATGAATCGTAGCCCAGTATTTCTTAACCCCGTTTCACCTACAAATGCCCTTGGAAACTGCACCCTATCCTGAACTGACAGACAGCGATGCTTGAGAGCTTCCTGCATGCACTTATTTACACAACCTTGACCATTATAAAATCTCTACGCAGATTGATGGGATCTGTTGTGCTCCTGTTTGCTGCAGTTTAATTAATCACTCCGTTCTCTCCGAGGCCTGAGATTCAGATCATTGTGCCAAGGTTTGTTTTAAAGTTGCAATCCTGCTTGGGCGTCTGTGGCTCGTTTCTTTCAATTAATTCAGTTGCCGTGCAGGCCTTGCACTGTGTCATCTGCATTACAATAAGAGAAAGTGACTTGCTAGTGTGCATTGGCAAGGAGCCAGGCAGACAGCATAGCCTGTGTGTGTGTGTGTGTGTGTGTGTGTGTGTGTGTGTTTGTGTATGTTTGGACTATTTCTGTCTGCAGGAAAAAAGTGCAATCGGGTGAAGCTGTTTCCTTCATTTGGAAATCCCTAGGAGAGAATTAAAGGAGTGTTTTAATATTTTACTATGGGCCAGGAACATCTGTGCAGATCCAATTTGATGACTGCTGGACCAATGGAGTGGAAATGTGTTTTGTCAGTACCTGCCGGCTAGGATAGTTTTCTCAGCTGCTTTTCCTATTGTTAATCTTTTGGCAATCACGTTCTGTGTCACTGAGTGGTCAGGTCACAACTCAGAGTTTCTCCTTTCGATTTAATAAGCATATAAGACATGTGTGGCAACAAGGAAATCCCGCCTAAAGCCCCAGCTGGAAAGAGTTGAGAAAGGGAGAAGGATTTGCTTAGCTGAAAGCTAATTCTCAAAAGGTGTGTCACAGAAGCACTAGAAAAGCTAAAAGAAAGAAGAGGCTTTTTGTAATGTTCCTACTATAATGAATGTAACATTACCTGGACCTCCTATCTTGCAGTATCATAGCCAGTATCACCCAAAAATGTATAGGCAGTACATAAATATTTCTCTTTTCCTCCATATAAGAGTAATTCTTAGTGTACTAAAAAGTTGACCAGGATATGCCTGGACCTTCTTTTCTGGGATCTGGGACCACAGGAAAGTCTTGGCCTGGAAGATGCTAAGGGAGAGGAAGGGACCATTTTTGATATTTAGTAAATTTTTGGAATTTATTTGGTAAAATGTGGCAGAATCCATGAAACTCCATCAGTCTTCTGGCCACCATTTTGGATTCCCCATTCAAAATGTCGGTTTGAGAAAAACAAAAACAAAAAAAAACCCAGTATCTCCTAGTGGTAGCCACTCCTGTATATATTTATTTTAAAAAATTGCATCACCATTCCCCCCTTCATAATGGCATATTTGGGAACATCTAAAATTGGGGCTGCCAATTTTATACAGTTTGGATTTGTTATCCCGCCTTTCACTCCCTTTAAGGAGTCTCAAAGCGGCTTACATTCTCCTTTCCCTTCCTCCCCCACAACAAACACTCTGTGAGGTGAGTGGGGCTGAGAGACTTCAGAGAAGTGTGACTGGCCCAAGGTCACCCAGCAGCTGCATGTGGAGGAGTGGGGATACGAACCCGGTTCCCCAGATTATGAGACTACCGCTCTTAACCACTACACCACACTGCAAAATATGAAAGGTGGAAGGCAGCTGGTCCCAGCTTCATCCCGAACCTCTAATTCTGTCCAGTGGCTTGAAAGTTCATCCAAGCTATAAATAGGGTTCATTTTGCAATGACACAAGCACAAGAACATGCCTTGATGGATCAGATGAAAGGCCCATCTAACCCAATTTTATGTGTAAAGTAATATAAAATCAGACCATAACACGATGAAGAACATTTCATTAGCCTTTCCTTTCTAAGATGCCTCACAGATTACCTAGCTTTTCTACCGGAGGATACAGATTAATTGTCTGTTAATAATGTAAGACAATATGTGACTGGCCACTTCTAGAGGAAGACTCAGTTTCAGTCAGAATGTAATGAATGGAGAAATGTGCTTTCCAAGCACGGCAAAAGCTAGATTGTCAGTGGCCACATCTTCAATAATATCCTCAAGCTTTGTTCCCTCAGAAGAAAGCTGCTTGGACTTGGGGGAGCTATGATCAAATCCACAGACTGGCTCTAGGGGACCTGGGAGGCTTGTTGCCCCTGGACATGGCAATTGATAGTGACTGGAACACGTTGGAAATAATTATGGAGATGAGCCCTCAAAATTAGAGGAGGGGTTGGGGCTACCACCTCAGGGAGAGGTGAGGACTCATTGGCTCTTGAAGCACAAGTGTTGCTTCAGAAATTCTTCTTTGGGTTGGTCCCTGAACCTGTTATTTCTATATCTTCTGTCCTATCCTCAGACTTTAGGGTATGTTTGTGTCTGTATCTATCCATCCATCTTGAGTTATGGCAAGTCTAGAGTAGATGGGTCTTTGTTCTACTTTCTGGTCATGCATACACTCTGCATCAGGCATAGGCAAACTCCGGCCCTCCAGATGTTTGGGACTACAATTCCCATCATCCCTGGCCACGGCTCCTGTTAGCTAGGGATGATGGGATTTGTAGTCCCAAACATCTGGAGGGCCAGAGTTTGCCTATGCCTGCTCTACATGTATAGGTCTACAACAAAGATATTCTCACACCATCCACTCCTATGGGTCATCAGAAAACTTTGGGATGGATACAGATTACTCTTCTGTTCTTTATTTCTCCTCCAGTGCCCAAACTGATTCTTCAGTAAGATGCTATTTATATACGGGCATCTAGGACTATGTCATTTCAGGCTATGCTTCTATTCAGGTCTCACTTCCTTTGCCTGACACACTGTTGTGGTTCATAAGTTATATCTCATTTGCATAGCCTCTGGATCATATTGCAGGGGGGGGTATTGCTTGCATTGCCTTGGCATCTGTGTCCTACAATGAAAATCTGCAATGAGGACTATGCCTTTTGAGAAACAAAATCCCACTGTTCTTTGTTGCAATAATACATCAGAAAATATCGGTCTATCTAGATAGTTTTCTCACTTGATATTTAACAAACTTCCGTGACATATTGCTTGCTGCTAAACAGAAGCGTCTCAGATCATAGAAAGTTATTTTTTTATTAAAAAAACCCCAAAACCCTTAAGATGACAGCTCTGATACAGTTAAGAAGTCTCTAAGAAACTAATTATCATTATTACAGAGAATTGTAAATGGTAACTAACAATTAAACTGAACCTTCCAATAGAAATGCTAGTGATCTCATGGGGCAATTATTATAGCTGAAAGGAAACTAATGAACTTTTCTTCATCACATTGTAGTGACATAATTATGTGCCTTAGTGAAGCTCTAAGAATTGAGAGCACCTGTACTTTCATTGGAATGTTTTCATATATTTAAATCTTCTATATAAAAGTTATTCATTGGTGTATATACTGTATTTTTTCGCTCTATAGGACGCACCCGACCATAAGACACAACTTGTTTTAGAGGGGGAGAACAAGAAAAAAAAATTCTCCCCCTCTCTGCTCAGCACCCCTTCAGCGAAGCGGCAGGAGAAATGGAGCCCCTTCCATTTCTCCTCCCGCTTGGCTGAAGGGGCGCTGCGCAGCTCTCCCTCTCTGCTGAAGCCAGGAGAGTCTTGCTCTCCTGTCTTCAGCAAAAGGAACCCGAAGCCTCCGGAGCGCTCCGGAGGCTTCAGGCGGCTATCCCTATCTCCAGGCTTCAGCAAAAGCAACGCAAAGCCAAGGAGCGTGGAGGGAAACCAAGGAGCCTGCATTCGCTCCATAGGACGCACACACATTTCCCCTTAATTTTTGGAGAGGAAAAAGTGCGTCCGATAGAGCGAAAAATACGGTAAGTATTTGGAAACTTCATAGAATCATAGAACTGTAGATTTGGAAGGGATCGAAGGAATCAGTTAGTCCAACCCCTGAAATGCGGGAATCTCAACCAAAGCATCCAGGATAGATGGCTATACAACCTTTGCTTAAAAACATCACCTATCTTTAGAAATCTGGTGCACTTCAAAGCACCAGCGTGGGCACACATCCCAGCAGACCTTATCATAGTAATGCCCCTGCAAGAAAATGTGAAGGAAAGAAAAAGAAACGAGCATTTCTGGAAGCTCTGTGTTTTGCTATTTATCATTGTGAAACCAAATATTTCTTCTGCACTAGCAGGTGCATCTGCCGTGGCTGACAGTTTGAGTTCCTTGTTGATTGAGGAGAAGGCTGGTTTCGTCCTTGCCTTTCACCTAGGACTGACACAGATCAATCGCTCTAGTGTACAGGCAGTCCAGGAGAATCTCACTCCACAGCAAATAATGATTTACATAATCAGAATGAATGTGCCACACTTAACGATTTAGGGTAAGTTAGCTGTGCTTGGTTCCCATTGAAATCAGTGGTTGCTCCATTGGTTTCAACAGGACCTAGGTTCAACAATCTGGATCCAACCCTTAGGATACAAAAGTATTTTAACTTGTCTAGTGTGAACCTTCCTCACCAGGTACCAAAGATCACCAGGAAGATAAAAATCTTCAAAGACTCCAGGTGAGTAGAGCATCCAGACCAAGATTAGAGCTTTTCTCATCACGGTATCCCCTCTGTAGCAAGGATTTATAAAATCTTCGCTGGGCAATATCACATGAAACTTCTGCATTTGGTGTCCATGCCAATACCAGCTTTCCTGCTAAGGTAATATCTCACAGCCCTTCCTTTCATCTATCTCACCTTTCGTGGCTCCTTAGGGAAGATGCTTGCCCATTCCTTTTCTCCTTCCCACACTGTCCTCCCTGTTTTCTCTCTTCACTTTCCTTGTCCCCTTCCACCATATGCATGCCTCCCTTTCTAAGAGCCTCTCTCACCAGCAAGTCTACTTATCTCCACTCCTTTTCCTCTAACCTCCCCCTCTCCAGTACCTCTCCCAGGCACACTAACAGTTGCCTTTTTAATCTGCTTCTGATTGTGTACCTCTCTTTCCTCCTGGGACCTTGCTGCACCCATTCTGGCACACCCCACTTTCTCGGAGCAAAATATGAAGCTCTCAGAGTGTCTGGCATGTCCTGGTAGTACCTTACATTATTTAGTTTAGTGGGTCTATATCAGAAGGAAGGAAGGAAGGAAGGAAGGAAGGAAGGAAGGAAGGAAACATTTTCACAACTTGAGAAGATACCTGGTTGATCTGACCAAAAATCACTTGCGTAGCAATTTGTTTTCAACAGTGGCATTAATGCCTCTAAGCAGGGCGTTAAGGCAATTGTTCTATTCTTTTATTTCTGCCCAGAATCTGGTATTCAAAGGCACACTACTTCTCAACATGGAGTTTTCATTTAGCCAGTATTTCTGATAGTTGTTGATAGGTAGCCTCCATGAATAGCCACTAGAAGCTATCATGTATTGAATACAAACATCCCACAAACAGAAGACCCCATTTTCAATCCCCATCATCTCTAGGTAGAGCTGAGAGAGATTCCTGTCTAAAATCTTGGAGAGCCACTGTCACTTTATAATGAGCTACATGGACCAATGGTCTAATTCAGCATCGGATAGCTCCCTATGTTTCTATATATTCTTCTTTTGTCAGTCATATATTTGGTCATCTCTTGAAAACAGGGATTGCTGTTGGCCGGTAACTGCCATGTGGTCCACCACTTGTAAATCCAGATTTCACAAGTAATAGTATTGGTTTGCTGATTTTATTGAATGACCTTACAATCAATGGTTGTGCACCTGACAACATTTGCATAAATGTATATGTGGATTCACAAGCCAGTTTAGATCTAGAAGCAGTTGCATGCATAAATGTTTAGCATTGTGATATTTAGTTATTTTTTATTCGGCTTTTAAACAAATTTGTATCCTGCTTTTCACTATTATTGTTATTATTTCTTAAATTTGTTGGTCTCTTTATCTTGTCTAAGGGAACCCAAAACAATGAACAAACAAACAAAAACAAATCTCAAAGTTTTTTATTTGGAATAAAGGTAAAGCACTCTTGACATTAAGTCCAGTTGCGAACGACTCTGGGGTTGCGGCGCTCATCTCGCTTTACTGGCCGAGGGAGCCAACATTTGTCCACAGACAGTTTTTCCGGGTCATGTGGCCAGCATGACTAAGCCGCTTCTGGCAAAACCAGAGCAGCGCACGGAAATGCCGTTTACCTTCCCACCGAGGCGGTACCTATTTTATCTACTTGCACTTGGACGTGCTTTTGAACTGCTAAGTTGGCAGGAGCTGGGACAGAACAATGGGAGCTCACCCTGTCGTGGGGATTTGAACCGCTGACCTTCCGATTGGCAAGCCCTAGGCTCAGTGGTTTAGACCACAACACCACCCACATCCAGGGAATAAAGTAGTTCACTTTAAAAGAGTACATATCCTAGCCCTAGTACTAAATTTCTTATTTGGGGTTGATTCCTTCATTCTTTTTGTGATAAGTTGAACCAATAACTTTCTTTTAAAAAATGTTGTTGTTTTTAATGCATGTGCTTTGCTAGAATATAGCAAACCAAATGTTAAACCAAGGTCTTCCTTTAGATGTCTTATTGTGAATTCCAAGCCCTGATAACTGATCCAATGGTTTTTTATTTGGAATGTTGCTAGAAAAATTTGCCTTTCGGTGTTTTCCCATCATAGTCTCAGACTGACAGGAACTGTAAATCATGTACTGGTACAGCATATGGTTCTTTGCAATAAGCTAGTGCCTTGTTCTGTACTATAAGTGCAACTGAGGCAAATGAGACTTCATCAAAGTTTGTGCCGGTGTCTTTCGTGACATTTCTTTCAGTGCTGAACATGAGCATGGATGACCTTCAGAGATCACCTAAAATGAGCCCTGCTGGGTTAGACCAAAGGCTTTGCTAGGCCAGCATCCTGTTTTTCACAGCGGCCAACCAGGTACCTCTGAAAAACCTAACAGCAGGACATGAATACAACAACTTTTTCTCACAACTGTTCCCCATTGACTTCATTCACTGATGTACGCTTTTATCCTACAATCACAAGTAACCACCATTTTACAGCATGGTTTTCCCAGTAGTGATTTATGGAAGTGAGAGCTGGAGCATAAGGAAGGCTTATCGCCAAAGAATTGATGCTTTTGAATTATGGTGCTGGAGGAGACTCTTGAGAGTCCCATGGACTGCAAGAAGATCAAACCTATCCATTCTGAAGGAAATCAGCCCTGAGTGCTCACTGGAAGGACAGATCGTGAAGCTGAGGCTCCAGTACTTTGGCCACCTCATGAGAAGAGAAGACTCCCTGGAAAAGACCCTGATGTTGGGAAAGATGGAGGGCACAAGGAGAAGGGGACGACAGAGGACGAGATGATTGGATAGTGTACCAGCATGAGTTTGACCAAACTGTGGGAGGCAGTGGAAGACAGGAGTGCCTGGTGTGCTATGGTCCATGGGGTCACGAAGAGTTGGACATGACTAAACGACTAAACAAGAACAACAAACAGTAGTCCAGGGGTTGAGAACATTTGAACGTTATCTCATAGGCAGCGTTCCAGGGTCCACATGCTAGTTTTGGGTTGAGCCAGAAGCAAAAAAGGGTGGAACAACAGGTGTGACTCTTTGTACAGTAGGCCACACAAAAGCCAGAGGTTGCTATACTTACCCTCACAAACAGACATACAACTCTCAGTCCATCATCAAGACACAGTGTCACAATTAAAGGGCATAGTCCATGCAGGTCAAAGCATATGACGGGCTGGTCTGGGCTGCATGTGTCTCATGGCTGACCTAAAGTTCTTCACTCCTGATCCAGCCCCACATCATGGGCTATTGGTGGCACTGTGGTCTAAACCACTGAGCCTCTTGGGCTTGCCGATCAGAAGGTCCTCATGATTGGGTGACCTCCTGTAGCTCTGCCCCAGCTCCTAGCAGTTGGAAATAATAATAATAATAATAATAATAATAATAATAATAATTTATTTGTACCCCGTTCATCTGGCTGGGTTTCCCCAGCCACTCTGGGCAGCTTCCAGCAAAGATTAAAAATACATTAAAACATGGAAAGCATACTAGTGCAAGTAGATAAATAGATAGCGCTGCGACAGGAAGATAAACGGCTTTTCCGTGTGCTCTGAGTTCATCACGGTGTTCCATTGCACCAGAAGCATTTTAGTCATGCTGGCCACAGGACCTGGAAAGCTGTCTGTGGACAAACACCGGCTCCCTTGGCCTGAAAGTGAGAAGAGTGCTGCAACCTCATAGTCGCCTTTGACTGGACTTTACTGTCCAGGGGTCTTTTACCTTTTTACCTTTTTACCATAGGCTATCATGCTGGCAGTAAACTGCTGATAATCCTCTTTTCTATGGCCATCTTTCACATTGCCTTCCTAAAATGTGGTGTTTGATCATATCAGATCATCTCTAATAACATTGTTCTTATCGCATCAGCATCTGCAGCTAAGCTTGGCTTTGGGGGCTGGTGTTTTTTTGTTTTTGTTTATCACTTCCCATGCCACCACAATAATAGGCGGATTTCAACTTCTTTAAACCCTGAAAAAGTAGCATTTCCTTTCCGGGTAGGACCCATCACTCAGTCCACAAGATAGCAGATTCAATCCCTGCCCTCTCTCAAAGGAGCAAGTATGGAAACAATTTACGTCTGAAACTTTGGCGAGCCACTTTGAGTTCTGCTAGTAAATTTTAAATAATATTTTTATGGGTCTGGATAATGCTTCATTTCCAAATGGAGCCAGTTTTTATGCATTCAGCTGTTTCAAACTGCACAATATTAATATCTGCAACGGTTCCAAGTTGCCACAATGCTTAAGGCATGATTCCTACACAATTGTACCTTGGATCCCAAACGCCTTGGTACTCAGATGTTTTGGCTCCCGAATGCCACAAAACCAGAAGTGAGTGTTCAGGTTTGCAAATGTTCTTTTGAACCCAAAAGGCTGACAGGGTTTCTGCAGCTTCCGATTGGCTGCAGGAGCTTCCTGCAGCTACTCAGAAGCCGTGCTTTGGTTTCTGAATGTTTTGGAAGTCGAACAGACTTCAGGAACGGATTCTGTTCGACTTCCAAGGTACGACTATATTGTACCAAACAGACTTTCTAATGAGATGATACCTGAAATAGCCAAACACAGGGACCAGTTGGGAATTTAAGGGATGAGACCATCTTTTTGGTAAAATGGTATTTGCTTCTTGTTAACTATGCACCGGATAGCACTGCACATGTGCACGACTTCCCCTGATACATGAAGCCATTTATGAAACTTCCCCAGCTGCTCCACGATTCTGTGCTTTGTGGGGAGACCATTCGCACCACAAATGACAATTGTCTAAAAATAGAAATCTCCTGTACTGAGGGAAAGCAGACTTTCCGCATATGAAGCTGGAGGTAAAATTTCACAGGGATAATAGTAACAAGAATTCAATACTGCTGCTCTGGAGAACCCCACGTATAAACTCAGCCTAGTCAAAGAGCTCTCTGATCAATGAGATCAAATACTGGAAAAGATATAAATGGCCAAGCAGCTCATCAACTTACTCATGTCAGCAGCCATCAGTGTGTCTTTTGTGACCTCCAAACAAAGCCACATCTGTACTGAGAGATTATTTAAATCAAGAAGCCATGTTAAACATCCATGGCAGAAACGTGAGAGCTCCGAAGCCTCTCTTAAACAAAGCTGGCCTGGAAAGCAAAGGTAAGCAAAGAGCTGGGTATTAACTCCAGGTGATTTTCTTTTTCAAAACACTGAAAGGGACAAAAGCCTGTGCAAAGGGGAGACTTTCCACAGCGCAAAACGAGATATGTCATCAGATCAGTCCAGCCATACACTTTGCTTAGATTTCTGTGTCACGGTTTGTGCTCAGAGGGGAGCTTGGTCTCCCATCATTATTGCTCCAAGCCAAGGAAGCTGAATCACTGACAGCTTTAATGAGTAGGAAATTTGCAAAGCTCTGTTGGAGTGGAGCTGCCTGCTTTGAAATAAAATAGTCAGGAAATGGAATGCTAACTTTAAAAAAATCTAAGGCAACAAGAGAGTCTATGCAAGGAAACAATGCTGATTGGGAAGATTTTTTGGGGGGTGGGTGGGTGGGAGGGGGTTGAGGTTACAACCCAGCCAAAGCAAAACTCTTTTAAGTCCATAGAGTTCCGTGCGAGAGACATGTCATCATGCCTACCTCTCCCATTGAACTCAGTATGGCAGGGTTGTACATGAAACCTTTTAATCCATGCTCTGATGTTCATGAGATCTTCTTGTCGTGGAAAGCTTACAGGATAAATCAGTCAAGCCAAACAAGCAAATTAAACCATGTGAGCTGCAAAATCACAAATCCACCCAGATACAACAAAAGCTTTCTAAAGCTATTCAGCATTTCTGGTTTCATTGCCCTTATAATGGTATGGGGTTGCTTGTGCGTAAGTTGCCGCCTCTCCTGGCTATGTTGCCTTGTTAAACCTTTCTGTCTGGACAGCCCTTCAATTCGTGGCTGCCTCAGTCGCTAGCAGAATCCGTCAGTGGGCGTTTCTTAAACCTTTTCTAACATAAAAGTTGTTTGACACCCAGTCTCCTCCTACTTTCTCTGCGCGGAAGTCTTCTGCGCAGGGAGGGCGTGGGTAGCGGAGGACCAGTGCTCTCCCCGCTGGTATCCGGTGAAGAGTCTGGGAGCCCTCTCGCCGATTCCCCCATCTGCCCCTCCTTATTCCAGGTGTTGCACTGAATTGCTTCCCCATCTGCTGAGCTGCCTCTCTCCCTGCTGGGCCCTTCTCCAGCATCATTGGAGAGCCTTCCCTCCACCTCTAGCTCCGACGTCAGTTCCCTGACAGCCCTCTATGCATCAGTGGCCGAATCTATACAGAGAGGAACTTTCTCAACTCATGTAGGCTTCCCATGCAACTTAGAAACTGATCTTCCAGGCTTCTGACTTGTACCAGGTGCCTACGTGAGTACAGAACAAGGATATAAAAAGGCATTGATTTATGTTCCAACCCATGGTTGTCGCATGTAGCACTGCTTCTGTTCCACTGTAGTTCAGCTTTGAGAGAAAAATGGTATAATTTGGCTTGTTCACTGTGGCATAATTTTATGTAATTAAAATTGTGTCATTCTACACCTTTCATTTCAATGCAGAGGGCATTCATTTAAGTGCAAAGAAAACACCATACAAATAAAGATGAAATGCAGTGCTTTTTTCTGGGGAGATGCAGGGGTACGCATACCACTAAAGATTTTGTGAATCTAATTTGGCCTCATTGAGGGGCAGTATTTCATTATGAGTAGGAAAATGACAGTATCCCTAAACCTTTTTTTAGGAAAAAAGCACTGGTGAGATGTAATCAGTTTTGTGTTGTTTGCAGACTGAAAATAACAATTATTTGAATTTTGTTCTGGACATGAGTGAACAAGCAAATATTGGCAATTTGTACGCCTGTTTCTATTCTGTCAGAATTCTCCAAAATCCCTAGAAGAGAAGCTTTTCCCCCTCAGAAGTTCAACATGCATGGAGATCATGTTGTTGTTGATGAATCAACAGAGGGGGCTGATCCAGAAATCCCCCCCCCATTGTGTTACATTCCTACGAATGTCTACTGATAAGTTCTAATGAATTCTGTGGAGCCTCCTCACAGGTAACTGGGGTTAGGTTAGTTATTGTCTATTGTGCAAGAAACATTTCCTGAAAAACCAAGATGGAGATTGCCTCCAATGTAATTTTTATCCCATGTATGCATTCAGAGGTGATCCTTCCTGTAGGAGAGGCATCACACTTAAACCATCTATTGATGGAGGACCAATTTATTTGAAAGTCATCCAAAATATATGAGAAAGTAAAAGTGCTTCTAATATTCTTCCTCTAATTTAAGAAAGGCACAGGCAAATTTTGTCAGGGCAGCGGATAACTGTGCTTAGCTAGGATTTCATTTGCTGCTGCTATTCCCTTCCCTGCCTTCTCCTTTAGCGCTTTGCACTGCTGAAAGGCAAACTTTTGCTCAGTTTTAAAATAGCAGCTTCTTTGTTCAGTTCAATTCATCTTATTTCTTTCAAACCATAGGCCAGAACTAGTTTCAACAGTAAGAACAGCATCCGGAAAACCTTATTTGGATCCTAGTCCTATAACCTTGAATATGTTAAGCTGACTTAACTTCTATTAAATCCTTGTCATTATTAAATTCCTACACTGGATTATTCCCTAAAGCCATAATCTGACAAACATTTGTGCACATTCAACTGCTATTGAAATCAGTTCTATGTAGACACATATGGCGGATAGTGAATTTATCGAAAATTAACAATAAATCATGGTCCTGTGGTCTCAATCACACAGATACATTTTTTTGCAGTTTCTCTGTAGTTCCCTGCCCATAGTCAAGTTTATCAATGAATCCTTAGGGACTAGAAACATATCCTTTTAAAAGATGAAAGTCAAGTTTAAAGGATGCAGAATTCCGCGGTAGAAAAATTTCACACATTCGTTTGTTGCCTACTGTTGGTCGATTTCACAGTATCCAGACAGAATGGTTTTCTTTATTCTGCACAGGAAAGTTGAGCTGCTTGTGTTTTATTATTTTAGCACCAAACTGGAAATACAGAGGATGTTCACAAACGTAGACAACATGCTACAGAAAAACAATGAATCCAAAGTGAATATAAGGATGTAATAAGCTCCTTTGCTCCTACACAGGAATCATCAACTTTCACAATTGCTTCTGGTGATCAAAATGCATTGGATGTACCATCCAAACCCAGCAAAAAGTCCCAGTCTTTTTATAGAGATAGTGCAACACAATAATGAATAGATTAAGGCTGCGGCCGTATAAACACATGGGAGTAAGTCTTCTCAAAGTCAATGTGATAAATTTCTGAGAAGATAAATGTAGGATTGTGCTGCAAGTGACAGATCAGGAAATCCCTGGATCAAATTCATCTGCCACGGACTCGCCAGGTGGTCTTTAGTAAACCACTCTCACATTACACACACCTGCAATAGGAAAATAGTATCATTATAATTTACAGGTCCGCTGATCAGGGAGTGCTGTGCCCTTCACCTTGGGAACAACAACAGCATGTCTGGACATAATATACAGATGGCAGATTGGGAAAGGTTATGGAAAACAGATTTGAAATTTATGGCAAGTACATTAAAAGAAAATATATGAAAATGATGTACTGGTGGTATTTGACTCCTAGTATGTTAGCAAAAGTCAGGTCCTCCATCAGGGAGGGCACGTGTTGTAGTGAGATCACCAGAAACTGCCTCCCTGTTGTGGGGCAGGACCGTTTGGATGGCCACAACACCCCATTGGTCACCCCTCTGTTGCTGGGGCAGAAATTTGGTCAGTTGGGTTGGCTATTGGCTGCTGAGGGGGTACTTAGGCTGCTGCACGTTGCTGGAGAGTTTCACTTTCTTGCAACGTGCAGTGGATCACCCGCCCTCCTCTCCCTATATTTAGGGTGGTTCCTATGGCCTTGCTATGCCTGTCTTGGGATCGTCTGTTTTGGAGCAGGGGCCCGGTAGGAATTTTGCCATTTGGCTCATTGGCTGGTCCCACTTGGTTTTTGCCTACCGTGTAGCAAATCGTCACAACTTTGTAAGGTTGGCAGTTAGGCATTTGGTTCAATGTTTTGGGGAGGGGATGTGGTTGGCTGTGCCTGCCACTCCTTTGCTGCTGTTAGGGAATTCCGTTAAAGGAATCCAGGGGCTCACTATTGTTTTTGTCCGAACCCTGTCAAGGGGCTAGGGCCACGCCAGAACCCCTGGAGCATCTGGGGTGAGCTGTGAGATCGAAGGAGTTCTTGCTCCCCCAGGATGCTTTCCCTTACTGACATATGGTGGAGCCCAGTCAGTCCTGTTCCTGCCACCGTGCAAGTTCAGGTAGTCTGGAACCAATGCCTAAGCAACCACTCACATGCTGTAATCAATAAAGTTGTGGCCAAAAATGTAATGCCAAAAACCTTAAACTAAAATCTGTGTCTATTGTGTCTTCATTTGGGGGTGGTTTTGGGGGTATTCACATGCAAATGTATAGAACAAGTACAAATACCTCCCGGAAATGAAAGAAAAAGAAAGCACCTTTTACTGTATGTGGTGGTCATGTAAGGTAATAAAAAACTTTGGGGAGATGATATACAATGAAATGGGGGGGGGATGTTTAAAATAGCCATGTCGGACCTTTGGCTTCCAAAGAACATTTGCAAACCGGAACACTTACTTCTGGGTTTGCGACATTTGGAAGCCAAAATGTACGCATACCAAGGCATTCAAGAACCAAGGTATGACTGTATTGCAATGACTGTTTCCTTGCATTGGTTCACAGCGAGTTGCAACCGTCGCTGACAAGCTGATCTGCAGCATGCAATCAAAATGCAAGAAGGAAGGTTGGCGCAAAGGATCTCCCCTTCCTTCTTTATCTTCTTTCCAAGAAGCCTTGTTGTACTTAAGAGGTGACAAATGCCAGGGTTAAATGTTACAGCACAAACCTAACCATGGCTACTCGGAATGAAAGCCGATTGAATTCAGTGTGGGGGTGCTTACCCTCCAGGTAATTGGGGTTAGGACTCCAGGCTTAATCTTGAAGCAGACTGGGTGACCTTGATCCAGTCTCTCTTTCTCAAGACCGACCTTATGCACTGCCTTAAGCTCCTTAGAGGAAAAACAGGATAAAAAGATAATAAATAGACCTGTTTGCAACAAGACGTGCTGTGTCCTGGCAAGTTGCTTGTTTTTCTCACAAGCTTTTTGTGGCTTTAAGGGCTGCATGGAAAACAAATCTAACAGACAAAGCTTCCCTCTTAGTTGTGGTATTTCCACTGTAAGAAAAAACTATACTTGTTGAATTATATGCCTCTCTTGCAGATCTTAAACATCTGGTTATTTTCTGCTTGGACAACTGCATTGCACTCTACGTGGGGCTACCTTTAAAGGTGACTTAGAAACTGCAGCTATTCCAGAATGCGGCTGCCAGACTGGTGACTGGGAGCGGCTGCTGGGACCATATAACACTGGCTTCCAGCACATTTCCAAGCCCAATTCAAAGGGTTGGTGCTGACCTTTAAAGCGGTTTTGGCCCTGTATACTTGAAGGTATACTCCATTACTTAAATTCAGCCTGCACGCTGAGTTCCAGCTCAAAGGGCCTTTTGGCGGTTCCCTGCAAGAAGTGAGGTTACAGGGAGCCAGGCACAGGGCCTTCTTGGTAGTGACACCCACCTCCCATGAGATTTCAAGGAGATAAACAACAAAGCAACTTTTAGAAGACATCTGAAGGCAGCCCTGTATAGGGAAGCTTTTAATGTTTGATGTTTTGCTGCAATTAATGCTTTTAATTTGTTGGAAGTTGCCCAGAGTGGCTGGGGAAACCCAGTCAGATGGGTGGCATATAAATAATAAATTGTTATTATTATTACTCTGACTATGGTTTAGCTGGATGTAACCACTATTTTGTAATGTAATGTAATGTAATGTAATGTAATGTAATGTAATGTAATGTAAATGTAATTTTTTGTGTACATTAATGGACTTGAAACATCAGAGTGTTTCAAGCAACACTTGAGAGACACTTGGCTAGCAAAAGGTGGCATAATTGTTATAGACTATGGAGCAGCATCATATTTATTTACATAAAAGGCAGTTTGCATGCATGTTTTCTGTTTAAAAAGAAAATGATTTCTTCTTTTGTAGGGTTAGAGCTCCCTCCAGTGGCTAATTTGTAGGAGTTGAGCAAGTAAGATTTTACAGTACAAAATAATGACATAAGCATATACTGGGCAAGTTTCAGAACACACAAACACTGCTAAGAGAAGCTTCTTTGTAAAATTTGTTTTGTATGCATTGCCTTGAAGTTTCCCTTGCAGAATGCTGTGTAAATTGGATCATTTTGAAATGCATGGGAAAGACTGATGACCTCACTGATCTTCTTCTTCTTCTTCTTTTTGACACATTGAACTGTTTTTAAAAGTTTTCCTTTAAAGATTTTCCCCCTCAAAGCACTGTTGATAGTAACAATAATATTAATGTTGCTTTTGTTATTATTTATTGGATTCCAGGGTACATACACAATATAAAATGCATATCCTAATATGAGAGAGGTAGCCCTGAAGAGGCCAAAGTAGTTAAATGGTTTAGTTAAGTTGTCTTGAAGAGAAACGGCTAGGTGGAAAGAAAACGAAGTCATGTTTGATGTGATCGAAAGGGAGTGAGCAAGCTATGTCACAGATAAGAAAAAATTTGGAGAGATCAGGAGATAGAGAAGGAAACGAATCATGCCATAGATGCTTTGAACAGAATCGCAGATTAAGCACTTACACAATAAAACATGTCTTCTTCTTCTTCTTCTTCTTCTTCTTCTTCTTCTTCTTTGCAGCTGTTTCATTTTAATCTTGATTAGCCAACCCTCTTTACTATCGCCTGTTCTGTATTTGTATCTTATTTAATGGTGTTGTTGTGTTTTGACATTGTAAACTGCTGTGATATGATTTGGGAGTATAGAAACACTTTTATTCATAAAGGAATAGTTAAATAACTGTTGCTTATGTGCACATGTTGATTGGAAAAGAAAGATGGAAGAGATTGCTACTGAGATGTCCTTTCCTTCCTTTCCTTTCCCAATTACCAGCCTTTCCTAGGTAGCTCTGACCAAACAGATAGCTTTAGTAGATTTTCTTAACCAGCTACCAGTTATTTCTTACAAAGGAAATTCTAGGGACCACCCCACCCCATATGAACCAGATAGCTCAGATGGTTACAGCATGGTGTTGATAATGCCAAGGTTGCAGGTTCGATACCCTTATGGGAAAGCTGCATATTCCTGCATTGCAGGTGGTTGAACTAGATGGTGTTCAGGGTCCTGTCCAATTCCACAATTCTCTGATTCTATGAACTGGCCCAGAACCTATGAGCATCATCTGAGACCCTCCTTTGTTTGCTCTTCCACAAGAGTTCTGGAGGGTGGCAACATGAGAAAAGGCCTTTTCTGCAGTGGCTCCACATTTATGGAATGCTCTCACCAGCGAGGCTTGTCAGACACCTTTGTAACATATTTTCAGGCAAAAAAATTCACCTTCTCCCAGGCCTTTGGCTAATTAAACAAATCATGGCCTTTTAAAATTGGGGTGGGGGCTATTGTTTCCATTTGCTACTATGGTATGTATTTTTGTGTTTTTATACTGTACACCTCCCTGTGAAGCTTGGATGGGCAGCATCAAAATAAAATAAAAATACAGTGGTACCTCACGTTACAGACTCCACTAACCCAGAAATAGTGCTTCAGGTTAAGAACTTTGCTTCAGGATGAGAACAGAAATCGTGCTCCGGTGGCGCAGCAGCAGTAGGAGGCCCCATTAGGCTCCAATGGTGCTTCAGGTTAAGAACAGTTTCAGGTTAAGAACGGACCTCCGGAATGAATTAAGTACTTAACCTGAGGTACCACTGTAATAAATTTTCTGAATTCAGGGGAGGGGATTCTAAATCTCCACGCAAGCTGAACAAATCCTGCTCTTAGCCCAGGCTTCCTCAACCTCAGCCCTCCAGATGTTTTTGGCCTACAACTCCCATGATCCCTACCTAGCAGGACCAGTGGTCAGGGATGATGGGAATTGTAGTCTCAAAACATCTGGAGGGCTGAGGTTGAGGAAGCCTATCTTAGCCCATGTCTGTCTAATTTCATAAGGAAAGTCATTTCAGCCGTTCTTGCGCACTTTTCAGCTTCACAACTCTTATTCGAGCAATAGTTTTTGAAGTCAAATGAAGGTCCTCCACAAACTGTTTATCTCTATGGTGTAGCGGTTTTTGGACAGGTATTTAACAGTAAGAAATATAAGGGGCTAAAGGTCAGGTGTCCACAGTCTTATGAGCTTTCATAAAAGTTGCTTAAAATGGATAATTCAGCAATAATCTAATACCTCGGGTAGCTTCCGAGCTATATACAGTAACTGCAAAACAAGGAATTGTGTTCTAAAAATTCTACAGCCACCCGCTTGATTTATTACTTCTTTGATAAGACACAGCCATTTGGATGGAAAATATACATTGGGAGTTACTCAGCAAGTCAAGGAGCTAGTGCAGTACTTCTGAAAGCCGCTCGTGATTTATTGCTTTCACATTCGCACGGAATATCCATACACTTGGTGTATTTACTCTCCTAAACATTTACCCTTTAAGAGGCAATTTGTCAATTTAAGTGAAGAACAAAGTGGTTTTGCTCTAAACCAAATGAAAGACAAATATCTCCCCCCCTACCCCCAGTTTGGCTTTACTGAAGACTGTCTTGCATATTCGTATGATCACTAGGTATATTTCCCCTCTTGGTCAGCGATTCTGTGTGCTCTGGCTTCCATCATGGCATCCCATTGCATCTGAGGTGGTTTAGTCATGATGGCCACATGACCCAGAACAGCTATCTGTGGACAAATGCCGGCTCCCTCAGCCTGAAAGCGAGATGAGCGCCACACCCCATAGTCGCCTTTGACTAGACTTAACCATTCATGGGTCCTTCCCCACCACCTTACCAAGATTTGGTTGGTAGAAGGAAGCTATCATTGGCTATTGGTTCTGGTTGCCATTGACCACACAAAAGAATTAGACTCCAGTAATGGCCTTTGCCAGAGTCAAAACATAAGGAGGGTTTTCTCTTTACTGCTAAACAGCTGCTGCTTCTTCTTCTTCTTCTTCTTCTTCTTCTTCTTCTTCTTCTTCTTCTTCTTCTTCTTCTATCGTAGCCGAGTAAGCTGAGTAAGATTGTCTTCCATGAACATGGTCTTAACAGTGAGTCCGTATTTGACTGTGGAGGCCAGTTCTGGATCCACACGTCCTTCCATAGTGGGGACATAGGCTTCCAGGCTGGAGTTGATCATGGTGAGGGTTTGCCAAGCATGCCTTCCTCTTAGCATGTTTCTCCCTTTTGTCCCAAGTTCGAGCATCTCCAATACCCATGGTAAAGGCTGTTCTCCAATTGGAGCGCTCGCAGGCCAGTGTTTCCCAGAACAAACCCATTAAATATGTGGGCAGGGGGCTTTCCTAGGAAATGTTAAAATTTCACCTCTGTCTCATTGGCAGAGCAGCTCAGCTCTCTGCATTGGGAGCTATAATTCTGCATGGAGAAATGAGACAGTTCTCTCCCGTAGACTTTGGTACAAGAAGCACGGCTGTTTTTGAGTGAGATAATAGCTTCAGTCATGAACACATGCTCCATATCATGTGCAAGTCAAATTATTGTTCTGCAGAGGAGCTGGGCACAGGGAAAATTTCCTCCAAGCACAGCCAGTGTGATATAGTGGTTAAGAGTGGTAGACTCGTAATCTGGTGAGCTGGGTTCGCTTCCCCGCTCCTCCACATGCAGCTGCTGGGTGACCTTGGGCTAGTCACACTTCTCTGAAGCCTCTCTGCCTTATTCACCTCGCAGAGTGTTTGTTGTGGGGGAGGAAGGGAAAGGAGATTGTTAGTCGCTTTGAGCCTCCTTAAAGGTAAAGGTACCCCTGACCGTTAGGTCCCGTCATGGACAACTCTGGGGTTGCAGCGCTCATCTCGCCTTATTGGCTGAGGGAGCCAGCGTACAGCTTCCAGGTCATGTGGCCAGCATGCCTAAGCCACTACTGGCGAACCAGAGCAGTGCATGGAAACGCCGTTTACCTTCCCGCAGGAGCGGTACCTATTTATCTACTTGCACTTTGACATGCTTTCGAACTGCTAGGTGGGCAGGAGCAGGGACTGAACAACGGGAACTCACCCCGTCGCAGAGATTTGAACTGCTGACCTCCTCCCCCTCCCTCTCCCTCCTCCTGATCAAGGTTGAAAACTGGGCTCAGAGCCAAGATGCCAAACTCTTCCTTTAAGAACAAAACAAAACAATGTTATTAAACTAGATTTCCAAGATAGCCTACAACAGAGAACCATAAAACAAATATAAAACAGATCTAAAACATCAGAAACATCAGAAACAAAATTTCAATACTATCTCCCTCCCCTCCTCCAGGAGTTGCTTTGCGAATGAATGAAAGAGGCATTCCATTCTTAATCCCTGAAGAAAGGAGACATGACACTCTGTCTCTAAACCCAATTTTCACCATCATTATCAGGGTTGAGCCCTGCCCATTCCTGAACTTCGGGGGGTCGGGTTTCCACACATCATCATCATCATCATCATAATAATAATAATAATAATAATTTATTATTTATACCCCGCCCATCTGGCTGAGTTTCCCCAGCCACTCTGGGCAGCTCCCAATCAAGTGTTAAAAACAGTACAGCATTAAATATTAAAAATTTCCCTGAACAGGACTGCCTTCAGATGTCTTTTAAAGATAGGATAGCTGCTTATTTCCTTCACATCTGAAGGGAGGGTGTTCCACAGGGTGGGCGACACTACTGAAAAGGCCCTCTGTCTGGTTCCCTGTAACCTCACTTCTCACGATGAGGGAACCACCAGAAGGCCCTCGGCACTGGATCTCAGTGTCCAGGCTGAACGATGGGGGTGGAGACGCTCCTTCAGGTATACAGGACCGAGGCTGTTTAGGGCTTTGAAGGTCAGCACCAACACTTTGAATTGTGCTCAGAAACATACTGGGAACCAATGCAGATCTCTCAGGACCGGTGTTATGTGGTCCCGGCGGCCAGTCCCAGTCACCAGTCTAGCTGCCGCATTCTGGATTAATTGCCGTTTCTGGGACACCTTCAAAGGTAGCCCCACGTAGAGCGCATTGCAGTAGTCCAAGCGGGAGATAACTAGAGCATGCATGACTCTGGCGAGACAGTCCGCGGGCAGGTAGGGTCTTAACCTGCATACCAGGTGGAGCTGGTAGACAGCCGCCCTGGACACAAAATTAACCTGCGCCTCCATGGACAGCTGTGAGTCCAAAATAACTCCCAGGCTGCGCACCTGGTCTTTCAGGGGCACAGTTACCCCATTCAGGACCAAGGAACCCCCCAAACCTGCCCATAAAGAGCAAGCTGAGCAAGACTGCCTTCATGTGTCTTCCAAAAGGCACATAGACATTGTCTTTGTCTGTTTTGGGGAGGAAGGCACCAGCTGCTCATAACCACGAGTGACATTGTGATAAAGCCGTATTTTCCAGAACAATTCCATTTTAAAGGTGGTAAGTGAACCTGCAGGTTTTCTCTGTAGGGTTCAAGTCAAGATCTGTAACTTGTACTATTTTGGAGGCAATTCTTTTGGAGGTTATTTACAATGCTGTTTCATCAATGATACCCAAATGGATCTGTGAATTGTACTGTTCAGAATTTATCCATAAAATATTTAAAGTGACTTGCGAATCCAGCAACATATAAATGAGAAGCAGCGGGGTGAGGGTGTTTGATGCCCCCAAGTGTGTAGGGAAAACAGCATTTAAAACAGGAATTTGAAAATGGCTCAAGCAGGAATTTGAAAATGATGACTCATGTCTACTTTTTTCTCTGTCTGTCTGAGAATTCTCACATTTCTGCCCCATTTTCTTAATGGAGTTAGCGTCCAAACAAATTTTCACTTTATTACATGATTTTAGTAAATAGGACAGAAGACGATGATGGGAAAAAAAGAGAACTGCACTGACTGGGAATGGTTATTATAGAGTTGCAGGGTTCATAAGAGAACAGATGTTGCAATTAAACATGTTTTCCTTCAAAGCCATAATAAAATACTCTGCAACATCTGATACTCTCCAGCACTTCATTTTCAGAAATTGTAATCCCATAGCTATAGAATGCCACATTTCAAAGAATAATCTGTGGGGTTCAGCACATTAAAGGGGTCATGTTCCAAGCATGTTGATTACATGGGGCAGTGATCAGATGAAGGAATACACGCCAATCAACAATCTATTTGGACATATTTTCAGTGGACCAGCTGGGCTCAGCCAAGCTACTGCAAAATTGCTGTCGCCAGGAGACTGTAATCACATCTGTTTGTGGAAGTCAGCATTTTGGAGTAGATCCAGACTTGAAGCCAAGTATGCTTTTCTAAAACCTGTATGTCTTACTTTAACTCTATTCTTAAGCAGGACTTTGGCTTTCAACTATGTATGGGCTTTTTGTGTGGGTGATATTTTTTACTGTAGGGCTTTTTATGCTGGTTTTATGTTTGTGTTGGTTTTGTTTGTTTGTTTTTTGCTTAAAATACTGTAAGTCACTTTGAGTTGCCATGGCCAAAATGTGATAATAATAATAATAATAATAATAATAATAATAATAATAATGTTTAAAACGTTAGGTGCCCACCCCTACTCAGCAAGAAGCCAAGGGGTTCCAGGAAAACACCTGGGGTCTGGGGTCCTTCGGAGAATTGAGACACAGCGGAGACTGTTTTAACTTTACGAAATATGGTTTATTTACCCATTTACACCTATTATACAAATAATCCTACACATATTTGATTTTAAAGATGCTTTCACATACAGTGGTGCCTTGGTTCTCAAACTTAATCTGTTCCAGAAGTCCATTTCAAAACCAAAACATTCCAAAACCAAGGCACGCTTCCCCATAGAAAGTAATGCAAAATGGATTAATCCGTTCCAGGCTGTTGAAAAACTACCCCTAAAACATTTCTCCCCATTGCCCCAATCAGCACGATCTTTCAGAATTCCCTCTCTCTCTCTCATGTCAGAGCGGCTGGGCTGCAAAGCACTGCCAGGGTGCTTCTCCTCAATGGCCTAATCAGTGCGATCTCTGTAAAAACAGAAGTGCAAGACAAAAAACAGAAGCTCAGGAGTCAGGACACATTCGACTTCCAAAAAAAATAAAAATAAAATAAAAATTGTGAACCAGGCCCAATCAGTGCAATCTCTGTAAAAACGGAAGCGCAGGACTCAGGACACATTTGACTTCTAAAAAAAATATAAATAAATAAAAATTGAAAACCAGAACACTCACTTCCAGGTTTGTGATGTTCAGGTTCTACGTTGTATGCAGGCCTGGCCACGGCGGTCTTCCTGTTATATACTCTGGGCTTTACGAGGCCTTACGAGGCATCTAACCCTCACCTGAGCCTAATCCAGGTGAGGCATCACACACCTGCTTCCCAAGCTACCAAGCCCCACCTGGGCTACTTCACTATTTAGGTCAACTTTATAAGGCTTCATTTCCATTCCTCTCACCAAACCCATTTTTGGCAGGTCTGCTATAATCCTGATTCTGGAGCAAAGCACACAAGCACCCCGCCCCCCCGCCGCCGCCTGATCCATCACTTTCAAAATGTTGTCCATACAAAACACCATCTTTGGCAACTGTACATTTGTTGTGGTTCAAATTTACATTACAACCACATTTGGTCAGGGTTGTCACACTTAGTGTGATGGCCTGGGAATCCGATTCAGAGGCTGAACCGGAAGAATCCCAGCCTGCACAGGAGTCCCCACCTCCAGGGCCGGCTGAGCTGAGGCAGGGCCTTGATCCTGAAGCGCCTGCACCTGTGCCGGATCCTCGGGAGCAGGCACCAGGTGAATCAACTCTGGCTCCGGAGGCGATTGAGGACGCATTGCCTACAGGTGCGCCACTCCCAGCCCTGTCAGAGGAAAGTGAGTCTCCCCCTTGGTCCAGTAACCCACTGGCCTCTCCTGAGCTGCAGAGGCTCAGGGCAGAGAGGAGGAGGGAACTAAGTTCTCTCAGGAGGAGTGCTCGCCTTAAGGCTCGGAGAGGCGGGTCACCTGGGGGCTGGGGCTGCCACTGGCCTCAGAGATGATAAAGGCCAGTCAGCCCGGTCCCAGGTTGCGGGAGCAACGTCGTTGAAGAGCTGTTTCGGCCAGCACCCAGTCCTGTTCCCCCAGAGTTCCTGTCCTTGCCCAGCTCCTCGCTGTGGACCCCGCTTCGCCCGTGGAGGACTGTCTGCCGACCCTCGACACAGGTCCTGGACCTCGCCCCACAGTAACCTCCCCCCTGGACCACCACACTTAGCAAACTGTTAATTCGGGCAAGTAAACTACATCTCTCACTTCAATACAAACAGTTTTTCTACTTGCAACACACTTGAGTGAACCGGCTACTTTTCCTTGCACAGATATTTTGTTGCCATTTGCAACTCTGTCTCTGATGAGTTTCCACTTACCTCAGGCGTCATCCTCACCTGCCCTTAGCCCACTCCATCTGAGGAATCAGACAATTCCTCCCCAAGCTAGCGAGTCCCACCTTGCCTTCCTTCTCTCCAAACTGATTTGCACAAAACTGCAGACATTTGTGTGTTTGTGAGTTTCTCCAAGCCAGGAAAACTGAGATCCATTGGTAGTTGTTTAAATGTGCACATACACCCCTAAGTCCAGCACTGGTCAAAGAAAAATGGCTGGAGACTGGATCCAGTGGAAAGCAAGGCAGATATATTATTATTATTATTATTATTATTATTATTATTATTATTATTATTATATTTTTCTGTTGCACCAGAGTTGCCTCCCCTCATTCCAAGGAGGGAGAGACCCTGAACAAAAGTGTGCAGGAAACTTTATAGACTTTTAACATTGCCAAACCCCCTTAGCCAAAGACCACCCCAAAATCATCATACATACATACATCATACATACATAGGAGGCTGGTCTACAGCAGAAATCCTGTCTGCCAGGATAACTGATAATGGTCACTGATTACATTTCCTGGGACTTTTATTCACTAACTCCTCTTGGTTGGATATCACCCACTTCCTTCCACATCACAAAAATGGCACATTTAACAAATGTATAAAACTGTATATATGCAGAATATAAATATTAGCATATAAACAGTTTCATTCTTATATAATGTGCTGCATTCACAAAATTTGTGTCCTCCGCCCAGGCAAATTCTTTGCAGACACGGGATATCATAACATCAGAAAATATCTCCAGCCATGGATGTTCTTGCTGCCGCTTTGAAAACTTTATGGATTCTCTTTTCCCTTCTGAGGTTTTATGTTTTTATATCATTTTATATCATTCCCCAGAATCCTTTTGTTACCTTACACGTCCACCACATACAGTAAAAGGTGCCTTCTTTTTCTTCACATTTCCAACAGATATTTGTACCTGTCTTATACACTTTTGCTAACTTACTAGGAGTTAAGTACCAACGGTACGTCATTTTCATATAATTTTCTTTCAACGTACAGCAATTCTGCATATTCTGAAGTGGACCCTTGATCCAATTTGGGTCATGACCCACCTGTTTTAGAGCAGGTGAGTCCTCAGTATAGTGGATTCATCCTCCCTCCCTCATCACATAAACACCTAGTATGGAAACACCCTTGGTTAAAAGGAGGGGAAAACATTTATACGAGCTTTCTTCAGTAACACTGACTTTGGAGTATCATAGAGTTTAGAGAACTTTTGGCATTCCAGATGTTGGACTCTCTACTCCCATTGGTCCTATGCAGCATGGCTAATAGTAAAGGATTATGACAGCTGTGATTCAGTAACATTTGGAAGGCCACAGGTTTCTGGCTGCTGGTTAAGAGGTTCCTGGTTCAAATGCTGGCTTTTCCCCATGCCAGCAACCTCTCATGCCGTTGGCCTTAATGTCATATGTTTACCAAACCTTCTGTCATAAAAGCATTAATTCTGTTTGAAAGGAGTCAAACAATTGACATACAAGACAGCCTCTCATTGATCTGTGTGTTTAATAAAGCTAAATGTTAGGGAGACTAATGTACCATGCTGATGTTTTAGGAATTTCATTAACGTAGTTGAAAGACTGTCATAATTCACTCACCTCAGCTAGTTTATGAGCCATGGGTTTTCTGCAGCTCATAAAATCAGCTTGCTTAACGCAACACGCTGACTAATAGTACCAAAGATGACACTTTTTCACTTTAGAAAACAAGGTGACTTTTAAAAAGATGCATGTAAGCTTTGTAAGGCAAGATACAGAATTGCTGTTAAAAATCTAATAAAAATATGATTGTCCTAGAACGACAGCTTTGTTATAAATAAACTTTTGTTTTCTCCTGGCACCCATAATTTAAAAACCCGTCCTAACACTCAAAGTTGTATATTTAGAATAAATTGATTTTGTCCTTGTAGGTTTAGAATGGTGTAAACCTGATTAGAACATTAACATTACAAATATTTATATCCCTATCTCTTGTTCCAGTGGTTGAACCCCTCTGGTGCCTTCATTCAACAAATCTCAAAGCACCGAAATACATCAATGAATCTGACATCTGAAGACCTCATTCAGTTTCAGTACCTTGCCAACAGGACTGACTCCAAGGTTATCACTCCCTCCGTTCTGAGTCTGCAAATTAATGTTATTAATGTCACATGTCACATCTGAATTCTTCTTACCTAAGATAAATATAGTTCTAGCGAGATCTTCAAAGGTTGCTTTCTCTTTGAAAAATAACTTGGGGGGAAAAAACCCATTATCCTCACTATCACCTTGCCAGTTTCCAAAGTCATACATTATGTTGAAAGGCACATGATGCTCCTCCTTATCTATAAAAGTCACTTGTGGCCACTCCCATGTCAATCCACTGTGTTACATTTTTCACTCTCCATTCCCAGTTGTATAAAACTACCAACTAAGGCCTAAACAAATTTATAAGGTGTTACGTTCCACTGGGGTGTAGCATCATAACTTGTATTCTCTTGATTTATAATAGACGTTCCACATGTCTTAACTTGATTTATATTCCATTCATGGGGGGCTTTACGAATACAATGCAAAACTGGTTTTAAAAAAATGATACTAGTTTGGGGGTTTTAGAGGAGACAGATCAATGGTAGAGTACATGACCCAAGATTTAGTTTCAGGTATCTCAAGGACTGTGTGAATGTCTGGAGGCGGTTGGAAGATGGATGGCGGCTAACAGATTGAAGTTGAATCCTGACAAGACAGAAGTACTGTTTTGAGAGGACAGGGAGCAGGCAGATGTGGAGGACTCCCTTGTCCTGAATGGGGTAACTGTGCCCCTGAAGGACGAGGTGTGCAGCCTGGGAGTCATTTTGGACTCACAGCTGTCCATGGAGGTGCAGGTCAATTCTGTGTCCAGGGCAGCTGTCTACCAGCTCCATCTGGTACGCAGGCTGAGACCCTACTAGCCCAAGGACTGTCTCACCAGAGTGGTGCATGCTCTAGTTATCTCCTGCTTGGACTACTGCAATGCGCTCTATGTGGGGCTACCAGAAACCACAACTAATTTAGAATGCGGCAGCTAGACTGGTAGTCACTGGTAGAATGCGGCAGCTAGACTGGGAGTGGCCACCGAGACCATGTAACACCGGTCCTGAAAGACCTACATTGGCTCCCAGTACGTTTCTGAGTACAATTCAAAATATTGGTGCTGACCTTTAAAGCCCTAAATGGCCTTGGCCCAGTATACCTGAAGAAGTGTCTCCACCCCCATCATTCAGCCCAGCCGCTGAGGTCCAGGTCTGAGCACCTTCTGGCAGTTCCCTCACTGCAAGAAATGAGGCTACAGGGAACCAAGCAGAAGGCCTTCTTGGTAGTGGTGCTCACCCTGTGTAGCGCCCTCCCCCATCAAGGAAATAAACAACTATCTGACTTTTAGCAGACATTTGAAGGCAGCCCTGTTTAGGGAAGTTTAAAATGTTTTATGTTTTATCGTGTTTTTAATATTCTGTTGAGAGGCGCCCAGAGCCAGATGGGCGGGGTGTAAATAATAAATTATTATTTGGAAATAGCAGGGCCTTTGCTTGCCCCTTTGTCCAGAGGAACCTGTGGACTTCCTTTGTTGTTAATATCTTACAGTGTTGTTGAACCCCAACGGTCCAACGAGGTCTATCCCCATTGGGAGTTGGAAGCTCAGCCCAGCCTCATAGAGAACTGATATACTACCTTTATTACGCTCTGACCCTTCCATTGCCTTGAATCCAGAGGGATCCTGCAACACACTGTATTTTATATTAGCATCAGACATAAACCAATTTATTATGCCATAGTATGGGGACAAGGGACTTACTGGAGAGAACTATGAGAAGAACACTTAGGTACCATCTGTTGTTGTTTTTTTTAAAAAAAGTGAATTATTTAGACAAAAATGCCTGACAACAGATGCAATACAAAAGAAACTGCTGGGTCAGCTGCACACTGATGAGTGTCTCAAAGCTCCTCTCTAAGCTTTCTTAGTACTATATTGGGGGATTTTTGAAGCACATGAAGAAGGTCTCTGACTTTTCTCAAGTGATTGACTGTACATGCTTGCTCCATAGCAGGTGGATGCCGGCAGAATGGGATCACACAATTTGTTGGTGGCCCGTCTTTGCCATGAGTGCCAGAAATGGCACAGGCAGTGGGAGAGCGTGACACCCTTGGGAAACAGCCTGTGGCTTGCAGCAGGGGTAGAGAACCTCAGCCTTGAGGGCCAAATGTGGCCCGTGCCACTCTTTCCAGGCCTTGGCCTTCATTAGCCCTGCTCTACACCATCCTTGGGGGGACGCGGGTGGTGCTGTGGTCTAAACCACAGAGCCTAGGACTTGCTGATCAGAAGGTCAGCAGTTCGAATCCCTGCGATGGGATGAGCTTCCATTGCTCGGTCCCAGCTCCTGCCAACCTAGCAGTTCAAAAGCACATCAAAGTGCAAGTGGATAAATAGGTACTGCTCCGGCGGGAAGGTAAACGGCATTTCCGTGCGCTGCTCTGGTTTCGCCAGAAGCGGCTTAGTCATGCTGGCCACATGATCTGGAAGCTGTCTGTGGACAAACATCGGCTTCCTCGGCCTATAGAGTGAGATGAGTGCCACAACCCCAGAGTCATCCGCGACTGGACCTAACGGTCAGGGGTACCTTTACCTTTACCTTTTTACACCATCCTTGAATGCTTTTGTGTAACTGGAATGAATCCTTGAACTGTGTTAATACTTACTGCTTGCCTGGATGGAAGATGAAGAGATGTTTATCTCTGTAGAAACATCTGTCTTTTGTGTTCCTGAAATGTAGGCCGCTGTGCAAAGCTAAGAGTTACACCTGTTGTTCCACATACTTTTTGGCTGCATTGCCACTTAACACACTGGCATGTGGCCTCCAGAAGGTGGTCCACAAGGGAAGGTAGCCCTTGTGCTGTGAAAGGTTCCCCAGTCAGACTTACACTTTTGTCTTCATTGTTGCGACTGCACTTACTCCCCAGCTTAGTAGGCTTGAGGGGGGAAAATAGGCCTAGAGTATTAAATACCCTCCAACATTTCTCCGATGAAAATAGGGGTGTCCTAAGGAAAAAGGGACGTGGGTGGGTGGGACGTGGGTGGTGCTGTGGGTTAAACCACAGAGCCTAGGACTTGCCGATTAGAAGATCGGCGGTTCAAATCCCCACGATGGGGTGAGCTCCCATTGTTTGGTCCCTGCTCCTGCCAACCTAGCAGTTCGAAAGCACATCAAAGTGCAAGTAGATAAATAGGTACTGCTCCAGCGGGAAGGTAAACGGCGTTTCCATGCGCTGCTCTGGTTTCACCAGAAGCGGCTTAGTCATGCTGGCCACATGACCTGGAAGCTGTACACCAGCTCCCTCGGCCAATAAAGCGAGATGAGCACCGCAACCCCAGAGTCGGTCACGACTGGACTTAATGGTCAGGGGTCCCTTTACCCTTTACCTTTAAGGGAAAAGGAGACATTTTGGGATCAAATCAGGAACCAGGACAGCGTTTGTAAATCCAGGACCATCCCTGGAAAAGAGGGTCTGAATATTAGGGCTATGCACTGGATTCAGCAGAGGCTCAAATCCTGAGCCAAATTGTGCCTGCCTAGTTGGAGGAGTCTGGGCTGAGTGGCCCACAGCCACCCAAAGCTGTCCAGAAGCAAGAAATAAAGCAGTAAGGAGAGGCAGGTGTAGGTGAGAAAGAGGAAAAGCTGATGAAAAGAAGGGACCTACAAGGGACCTGCATATTTCTGGGAGACGGTTAAACATCACAGGCAGGGAACAGGACAGATTTCAAAGATGGTGGCAGTGGAACATTTCTATTTTGACTAGAGCAGTGTTCTTAAGCTAGTGAGTGGGGTTGGGACTGCAGCCTTTTATATTATTATTTTGTTTATGATTTTCAGTTTTATACACTTCAATAATTTTACAATCATTTTAACATTCCAAAACTCAACTTCCTTCCTCCTCTTTCTGCAGTTCCTTCAATTTTTAAAAAAATATATTTTCTGCATGTTCCAAATTAACTTAATTTGCTCATTTATTCACCTACTTTAAATATATACTCTTATAAAACGACAGGCTATTACAATAATCCTGCCAATGTTCTTATCTGTTTACAGTTTATTTGTAAATATTCAATAAACCATTTCCATTCTTTTATAAAAAGTTTGTTGTCTTGATTTCTCATTTTTCCAGTAATTTTTGCCATTTCTGTATGTTCCATAAGTTTTTGTATCCATTCTTCTTTCGCTGGGACTTCTTCTTCTTTCCATTTTTGGACAAGTAACATTCTTGCCGCTTCTGGGTTTTTTTTTACAAATGTTATTTTAAACATCTTTTCCAATTCATTACCGGTATATATATCATCTCCCAGTAAGTTTTAACCTTACCACCACATATGATAAAAAGAACCTTCTTTCTCTTTACATTTCCAACACTTATTTGAGGGACTGCAGCCTTAAGAAAGACGCTCTCCGTTTACAACATGGGAATCCTATCACTGGTCTACTTTACAGAGTTGTCTAAGCATTACTGAGATAATGCGTGTGAAGTGTTTTCACCACTCAAAAAGCACTATGCATCCTTTTTTATTTGGTATGTTTTACAGGTAGAGTGCACAGATTAGGGTCTGTAAATGTTTTATCTGGAGTCATCCTGGTCTGCAATGCAGGAACCTTGGTGCAGGGCACGGCTGAAACAGCTGGGACCCTCTATGATCTAACAGAACCCTTCTCTGAAGGCTAAAATAATTTCAACGCTCCCCCCCCCCCCCGCCCAAAAGCAATACTTCCTTATAGGAAAAATGTCCCACTCACTTCATGGTGTGAGAGCAATAAATGCATGTTTAGTTATTTATGCCTCACTTCTGACTGAACCATTTTAGCTGCTGCCAAACATGTCCATCTCATATTCTGGTTATGAACCTGAAGCAGATGGTCGAAAGGTATTTAACACAGTGTGCTTACAGACATAACATTTCTGCCAATAATGCCTTTACTGTATCATAATGTTTGTGCTCAGCTGAGAATAAGCCAGAAGTAATCCATCAATAAATGTTGATTGGGAAGTGAAAGCAATTCTTAAGGGAGATCCATAGGAGAGAAGGTAGCAATAGCTATTCAGAATTTTGATCAGAGGGCAAAAATCTCTCACATATCACATATTAATATGGAACCTGTGTTCTTTAGTGTGGATTTATACATAGGGAATGGGCACCACGTATTCACAAAATGGAGGTATTGCCAGGCCCAGGAGCACCTCAATATTTGCAGAATATTGTAAAACAAGAGACGGGAGGTGTAGATATTGTGAAAAAAACACCTGAAATAAACTGCTCTTTGACTTTTGAGCATGGGGAATACAGACCCTCCAATTGTCTTTATTTTCCAGGGCCAGTCCTGGATTTGTAGAAGCTGCCCAGTTTCTGATTTGATCCCAGAATGTCTTGCTTTTCCTTAGGACATCCCTATTTCCATCAGAAAAATGTTGGAAGGGAAAGAGTTGGAGGGGATGGAGAGGAACAATCTGGCTCCTCCCCTAAACTTCTCAATGTCTATGCCCTCATGACATCATAGCAACAGCACTAAAAGCAGGGGGCACTGTCCATCACTGAATTTCCACCTCTGCATAGTGGATGAGACCTAACCTAAATCAGGACAAACAAGAGTAGGCATGTATATAGAACAAAGCATGCGTGGAAAACAAACCCTGTAATTACACAAAGGAGAAACTATATAAGCTTATTACAGGATCCAGATTTACAATTTGGAAAATCCTACTTCCGTTTTATATATATGTGTATCTTCTCCCAAGCAGAAGTGCTCTGGAAACACAAGGTCAATTTTTGATATATCAAACCAAAACAGGTTTCACATCATACATTCCTAATTTGGATTCCATGAGATAAGACAGTGGCTGCCCAGCTCCATTAGCCAATTTAGGAGTTTTCTTAAAACCAAATTAGACTTGATCTTAATTGTGTGAACACAATTAATGTCCACATTTCTTGCATCTGCACAATTGACATTGCATCTCGTTTGGCCCTCTGCCCTTACGCCGAACAGGACATCAGGATGCGGAGAAGACAGAGCAATCTGTGCACCATTTGAACTTGCATGACTACTGAATGAAGGCGTTGCAGTCTTTGCTTTCTTATTGTGTCTCTACCAATGAATTTACATTTAAAAATAGAGATTAATTTTGAGATGAACCATTTTTTGCATGCAACAGCCTCATCTTGGAAGGTAAAAACCAGTTACCTTTGCTCGGTCAGTAAAATGAGCACAAAATCTTTATACACATCACTTATCTTGTATTCAGCTTGAAATAATGCACGGGCATATTGTTTGAGATTCGGTGAAATTGTGTAGAGAAGGCTATTTGTACTAGAAACTTTTATTTCTTTGTAAAGTATGTATTTAATTATTTCAGTGTATTGACTCAGCCTCGATCAACCTTCCAAAGGGAGGGAAAAAAAGTACAAATTCCATTTTCTCTGCACCTTTTGTTAACTCCACAGATTGCAGACTGTCCTAGATGGCTTTAAATTAGTGTACTGGAAGGCTTTGAGGTGAACGATAATGGAATAATTGTCCCATTTTAAAGCAAATGATAATCTTCCCCTTATGTCACGGTTGCATTTTCTATGACTGCAGGAGGGGGAAGCACATAATCACGCATGCCTCTTGAGAATGTTGATGTGCGGGAGAAGGAGAAGACCAAGCAAATACGTAGAGAAATACAGGATGAAAGATTTCAGGGTCTGAGTGGGGACTAAGAGTGGTATCCAGTGCACTTGTTCCATTAGTGCAAGAATTTCCATTTGCACACTGGAATGTCCACCATCTCCTCCCTCTGCAACCTTCCCAGATCTGCTTCAGAGGTTTGGGAGAACACCCAGAACAAATTCAGAAGGTATGGTGAGGTACGGGGAGAGAAGCAAGGGGAGCATTTATGTTGCACATCTAAAAGTTATTGAGCTGATGGAACAAGTGCACTGAATACGTCCCCTATAGATTGTCGTCATCATCATCTTGGCTCCAAAGAATCCCGCTGATGTACCTACAATTGACTACATGGGTTCCACCACCACCACCCTGCTTTTGAATCCAGCTGCATCTCCTTGTGAGGATTCAAATGCTGTATTAGATGCTGACTTGGAGATCTTTTCGCAAGCTGCATTGAACTGCAGTAGAGAGGTGGGAATTGAACACTTCTTTCTTCTTCTTTGGCGATCACTTGTAGCCAAGTACAGTGGTACCTCGGGTTACAGACGCGTCAGGTTACAGACTCCACTTACCCAGAAATAGTACCTCGGGTTAAGAACTTTACTTCAGGATGAGAACAGAAATCATGTGGTGGCAGCGTGAGGCCCCATTAGCTAAAGTGGTACTTCAGGTTAAGAACAGTTTCAGGTTAAGAACGGACCTTCAGAACGAATTAAGTTCTTAACCCGAGGTACCACTGTACCATGAGACCGTAAATGGCTGTGGAGGCCAATTCTGGATCCACATGTCCTTCCACAGTGGGAACATAGGTTTCCAGATGGGAATTGATCATGGTTAGGGTTTGCCAAAGGTGCCTTCCTCTTAGCTCATTTCTCCTTTTTGCCCTGAGTTTGTGCTTCTTCAAAGTCAATGACACCTTTGGTAAAGATTGTTCTCTAATTGGAGTGCTCACAGGCCAGTGTTTCCCAGTTGTGGTTCGAGGACCCGTCCCCCGCAGTGTGAAATGAATACGCCAGGACATGTGATATAAGGTTAATGGGCAAGAAAAGGCCACAACTTTATTGATTACAGCAGTGAAAAGGTATTGGCTTAGGCACTGGATGTCTAAAACAAGTGGGTTTATTCACCAGTAGGTGGAGCCTGTTGATGCTAATCCAACTATAGGCTCACCCCTGATGTCACCGAGGGTCGTGCCATGGCCTCCCGCCAAGCAGGCATCCATCTGTTGACAGAGTACACGACCGCCAGATTCCTTTAACGGAATACCCAAAAATTGAAGGCATAGGAGATGGCCACACCTAGCCCTTCGACACACCACATTATTCCAATGCCTAACCGCCACCCGAGCCAAAAAGGCTCGCCGCCAATACCCTCACGGCTGTAACCAATCCCAAATGCTTTTGATGACACTATCTAACCAAATGTCGTTCCCCAGGTCCGATAGATGCACCCCGTCATTCCGGTATAAGGCTTGGTCGCTGATCCGGATACGGTCATGATAAATGATTCGGCCATTCATGAAGTGCACCCAACGGGCCACTGCCCGATTTACGAGTTTCCTGGTTTTTTTCAATGGCCATACAGCTCTGCGCACCGCGCCAAAAAGTTCTCTTCAAGAAGGAGGACCAGAACACCGTCGTTCTGGGACACAAAGCAAACGCATCCAAGTCTCTTTTTATGTTCCACAACAAGTCCACACTCCTTCTGTTAGCAAGGTCATTCTCCCCTAATTGAATGACAAGGATGTCGGGAGGGCTGAACGTGGCTACTTTCTCCCACAGCAATGGCATAAGCTCTTCCCAACGCATGCCTCTTCTTGAAAACCAGGAAACTCGAACTCCAAGCGGTAAACCAAGATTAGGCGCGAGGCCGCAGCTGACCGCCCGAACGCGGGCCCAATGGACTATACTGTGGCCACAAATCCACACGCTTCTCCTGGGCACAGCTGAGGATGAAAGGACAGAGAGAAGCTGGTAAGTAGGGGTGATAAAGCAGGGCACATTCTAGCGAATATAACTTTTATAAGCGTTGGATTTCCACCGGCCCATTTCTTTAATCTTATCCACAGGCAGACCTAAGTGGGCGGCTGTTGTTGTGGCGCCAATTCTGAATGAGTGCGCAGCATACTCCCGGGAAAATAAACCACACACCTCAATAGCTTTGCGGAGTACCCTGGTAAATTGGTGTCTCAACAAGGATGACCCATCTTCGTGAACCAGAAGCGGACCAGGGCCGGGTGGTCTGAGGTAGAGGTACCGCCTAGTGTCCTTCACCGGGCATGGGCCCTGCTGCGCCGACGCTGTAAGCTTAACTAGAACCCCCCTACTGGCCTGATCAGTTTTGTACTGATGTATCCGGACCGTCAAAGTAGATTCAGACAACTGCACGTCCTCCATAAGGAGGCCGCACGTTGAACCTCCTGCGCTAACTTCAACCACAACTTCGCCAACTCTCAGAGCGCCAAAAAAGGCGATAGCGTACGCCGCGGAAAAGAGGCAGGCCTCAAACTTGGTCCAGCAAATTGATCTGAGCTTTGCGCGTATCTGAGATAGCAACCCATAAGAAATTGGCTTATGGCCCTCGGCCCTGGGGGGTTGTGACCTGCCCCAACCTTCAATAGCTCTGCGGATCAGGAAGTCGCTACACGGGTCGGAGGAAAATGTGGCTTTTGAAAAGAAGCTGATGGCTGCTACATGTATCTTTAAGGTTTTGGGAGCACGTCCCAAATCGTCAAGATGGGAAAGGTACTGCAGAACATCGTCAGTGGTAGGTGGTACGTTATGCGACAGCCCAGATAACCCAGACCTGAAACCCAGGAAATCGCACCAGGCCTTCTTGTAAGACCTGAGAGTGGAGGGTGCGACAGATGCTAATACTCCCTGTATCACTTTGCGTCTCCAATGTTCCACAGGTGCTCCGGAAAGGGTTCGGGCAACGGTTGTGCACCAGGTGCTAGCGACCGGAAGCGAGATATCTGAAAGCGAGACAAGGCATCGGCTATATCATTACAGGTCCCAGGAATAAATTTGGCTGAAAATATTATGTTGTACTCAAGGCACCAGAGAACGAACGCCCGCAGAAGGGAGGAGACCCTCGCAGACCGAGATGACTGCCTGGCTAGTATGTTCACCACTGCCAGGTTGTCGGTCCTGAAGCATACGCGGCGATTTCGAAACTCCTCCGTCCAGATGTGAACGGCCACCACTATTGGAAAAAACTCAAGAAAGGTGAGATCCCGCGTGATGGCCTGACCCTGCCATCCCGTTGGCCATCATTGCGCGCACCAACGTCCCCTGAAGTACAAGCCAAAGCCCAGAGACCCAGCCGCATACGATTGGACCTGGAAGTCTTTGACACCGGTGATCTTTGCTTCTTCCAGTACACTGACATTAGTTCGCTTGTCTTCCCAAGTGATGTGTAAAAAATTTCGGAGACACCATTGAAGGAATCTTTTGTGGAGGTGGAGATGGTGTTTATAAGTGGTCCATGTTTCACAAGTGTACAGTAAAGTTGGTAGTACGATAGCTTTGTAAACAAGTATTTTGGTTTCCCTGTGAATTTCCTGGTCCTCAAACTCTTTGCGCTTCAGCTGGGAGAAAGCTGCACTCGCAGAGCTCAGGTGATGCTGGATTTCGGCATCAATGTCGGCCCTTGTGGAAAGATAACTGCCCAGATAGTAGTAGTAGTAGTAATAATAATAATAATAATAATAATAATAATAATTTATTATGTATACCCCGCCCATCTGGCTGGGCTTCCCCAGCCACTCTGGGCAGCTTCCAAAAAAATATTAAAATACTGTAATACATCAAACATTAAAAGTTTCCCTAAACAGGGCTGCCTTCAAATGTCTTCTAAAAGTCTGGTAGTTATTGTTCTCTTTGACATCTAGTGGGAGGGCATTCCACAGCGAGGGCGCCACTACCAAGAAGGCCCTCTGCCTGGTTCCCTGTAACTTGGCTTCTCGCAGTGAGGGAACCACCAGAAGGCCCTCGGTGCTGGACCTCAGTGTCCGGGTAGAACGATGGGGGTGGAGACGCTCCTTCAGATATACTGGACCGAGGCCATTTAGGGCTTTAAAGGTCAGCACCAACACTTTGAATTGTGCTCAAAAATGTACTGGGGGCCAATTTAGGTCTTTCAAGACCGGTGTTATATGGTCTCGGCGGCTGCTCCCAGTCACCAGTCTAGCTGCCGCATTCTGGATTAGTTGTAGTTTCCGGGTCTCCTTCAAAGGTAGCCCCACGTAGAGCACATTGCAGTAGTCCAAGCGGGACATAACCAGAGCATGCACCACCCTGGCGAGGCAGTCTGCAGGCAGATAGGGTCTCATCCTACGTACCAGATGGAGCTGGTAAACAGCTGCCCTGGACACAGATTTGACCTGTGCCTCCATGGACAGCTGTGAGTCCAAAATGACTCCAAGGCTGTGCACCTGGTCCTTCAGGGGCACAGTTGCCCCATTCAGGACCAGGGAATCCTCCACACCTGCCTGCCTCCTGTCCCCCCAAAACAGTACTTCTGTCTTATCAGGATTCAACCTCAATCTGTTAGCCGCCATCCAGGTAGGAAAAGTGATTGACATTTTCCAACATTACAAGATTAAGTTGTATTACACCATTAAGTTGAACAGTTCCAGTGTCCATGCAGAGGTGTAGTAGTTGAACATCAAAGGTTGCCGTTCAACTAGTACCATTTGTAGGTTCCAGTAAACTGCCACCTCCCTCAGAGGAAGCGTGCATCATCATATGGAGTTGCCCATCATCAGAGGCAGAAGCCATTTTGAATCAACTCAGTAGCAGGGCACAGAGGACAAGAAATATATAGAAATGGTCACCCCAAAAGTCCCTATAGAGGGACAGCAACCCCAGTAAGTCATTGGGCAATAATTTTGGCCCCCCCCCATACACCAAAACCTGACTGCACCTGGTGTTGAGAGTGAGGAAAGCAACGGAGAAAAATGGTGGGGAAAGCAACAGATAGAAAAGAAGATTTTTTAAACTCTATGAGAAAAGAGCACTGTTAAAGACCACAAAGGGGACCAAAGACATGGAGAAAGAACATCCAGGAGAAAAGCTAAGGCACACCAGGGAGAAACCAACAGGGAAAAGGTAACAAACTTTGGAAGAAAGCCATGGCAGCAAGGCATAGGGATGGGAGAAGATGGAGCTAAGGCACTAAAACAACAGCAACAAAACCACAGGGGGGGGGGGACCCAGGAGCTACAAACAGGAGCAGGATTTTAACTGCAAATATGTGCAAGATTAAAACACCACACAGCCACCAACCACAGAGAAAGAACACAAGTCGGGGGATAAAAAGCTAAGTGTCCTGACAAGGGGGGGACGACGACTAATGAACACATTCAGTCACACAGAAAGACTGACCCAAAATGCACGGAACAAGGAATAGGACAGGAGAAAAAGAAAGCCCAGAAAAATGGTGAAGCTAGGAATAAACTCGGGGGGGGGGATCACCTGGATGAGAAGCAGGAAAATGGATTGGAGGATATCTTGCAAGCCTTGCTACTTCCTCAACATCGATTTTGCTTCCTTTGGATGATAGGTGGCAGTATCATCATGCATCCAATGGGCTGCCCTCCAGAGAGAAATATCAGATTACATATATAGCATACAATGCCTTTACAGTATTGCAGTTAAAGATTTAAGGGTTTTGTTTTGGTGTGCCCCCCTTCTTGTTCTCTTTATTGATTGCTTCTGTTTTATCGTACATATCCTCAATAATTATTTTCTTCATATTTTCTTTCTTTGTATCAATGCATATTTAAACAAAAAGAAAAATAAAACAAAAGAAGAAGAAGAATGAACATAATGACCAGTGTCATAGCAAATGAATTTGCACGTCTCAGAAAATCTAACCACTATATTAAAAAATACTGTACCCTTCTTATAACTGAAAAGACAAATTTCAGTCAAACTCTGATATTGTGATGGGGAGCAAAAATATATGATCTGTATTATTGTCCTTTCATTCACCTTCCTTGTTGTGTTGATTGGAAAATCAAAGCAGAACTTGGAGGGAGGGGGTGTCAGCATCGCCCTTGAGCCAGTGTCACCAACTGGACTCATCCACTCAGCCCCGACTGGGCTAGGCGAGCTGGGTAGCACTTCCAGAGACCACCTTCTGGACAGGAACAGGTCAAAGTGCTGTGGACTCACAACTTGGAGTTGTGAGCACCGGATTCACTTCCACAAGAAGACAGTCGTTGCACAGCAGAGTATAGCAGAGTACAGCAGAGCATAAACGACTCGGAGAGCAGCTCTGTAGAATATCTTCTTTATTCTATCTACAACTATAATACACAACTATATACAGAGCTAAATGAGGTCTAACCTGAAATGCTGAACTGCACTGAGTGTCTGCAGCTGTTCTTAGCAGCAACCTTATCTATACACACAATCTCTCTCTAACACTCAGTCTCTCTCTCTGACACATTGATGTGAGGCTGGAGCGGAATAAGTAGAGAGCAGAAACCGCCCCTCCTCTCTGGAGAATCAGCAGAGAACATCAACAGATTCTTGGATATGGGAGGGGTGAAATCTCCTCAGGGTGGGGGGGGGGGGACAGAGAGAGAGATGGGAGAAAATGAAAGAGAAAAAGATGGAGAGGGGAGGAAAGAATTCATGCAAGAACTAATATTCCTAGATTTGCTGATAAGGATATGACCTTAGTATAAGAAGAGCCAACAGTGGAAAAATTAAAGGCAACAAGTTCAAAATCTAAAAGGTTTTCCAGTACCTGGGGCAGTTGGGTTCACCAGTGAATTTTGGAAGAAGTATTTTTGTTTTGTTTTTTAGTTTATTGGCAGGACATTTATTAAAAAAACTGTTAATGAAATTATGTAAAAGTATAACTTCCTAGGAGTATAGCTAAGATGATAGCAGTTGCCAAACCAAGGGAAGACATCTCAAAACAGATACATTAAGGACATTTATTTTATTACTATTGTTGTTGTTAAATTGTCTGTTGGAATAAAATAAGGCTTCAGTAGGCATTAAAATCCATTAAAGATTTTAAAATTTGGACCAGTGTTCTAGATAATCAACTGAACACAGTGGTGGGTAAATATATATTGAGAGACTTGCAGTCTTTCCAGAAGAGCAAGGCTGGTTGACGTTGCTGAATATCTTCCTAATGGAGCCTAATAGAATAATAAAACGTTTGTAAGCCAGATGAAATTTTCCCAAATGATAATGATATTTCAAAGTATATAGAGTTGCTAATCTTTTGATTCATACTAAAATCAAGTTTGTTAAGCGTGGAAGAAAATGTACTCCTGGTTAGGTGGCAAAGCTGGATCAAGACAGAGATTTCTTCAGAGTTTATGATTGTGTTTGAGCTCTGACCTCCGTGTTCCCTGGGCTCCAGAAGAGGAAGCACTTCTGGAGCCAGGCAGAAAGTTGTTTGACAGGATTACCTTCAACCTTCCTCCAGTTCAGAAAATTCTGCGTAGCACCATGTTCATGTTTTTGTGGGATGTAATCCATTGGAACAGTCAAGTGCAACATTCCTTATTTCCCTAGAGTGGGCACAGGCAGGGGGACATCCAATCAGTGTAATTTCCTGTTCCACTGGTCTGGAGCTTCCTCCCCTTGCATGTGATCTGGGAGATGGGCGTGGCTCTGGCTGACTCCATAAAAGAGCGGAGTCATGAAGCCATTGTCTCTCTCTTGCTGCCATGCTGCTCTCCTGCAGCCATTTTCTTCTCTTGGTGCTGTTCTCTCAATGTATTTTTGCTGTCTGCTGGCTCTCAGCCAGCAGCACACGAGCTCAATCTCCATACGAGATCAAACTGAACTGAATGTGAGTAAACTTCTTGTTACTTTTAAGAAAAAAACTCTTGTGTCTTTATTCTTTTGTTGTTTAGTCGTTTAGTCGTGTCCGACTCTTCGTGACTCCATGGACCAGAGCACGCCAGGCACTTCTGTCTTCCACTGCCTCCCGCAGTTTGGTCAAACTCATGCTGGTAGCTTCGCGAACACTGTCCAACCATCTCGTCCTCTGTCGTCCCCTTCTCCTTGTGCCCTCCATCTTTCCCAACACCAGGGTCTTTTCCAGGGAGTCTTCTCTGCTCATGAGGTGGCTAAAGTATTGGAGCCTCAGCTTCAGGATCTGTCCTTCCAGTGAGCACTCAGGGCTGATTTCCTTCAGAATGGATAGGTTTGATCTTCTTGCAGTCCATGGGACTCTCAAGAGTCTCCTCCAGCACCATAATTCAAAAGCATCAATTATTTGGCGATCAGCCTTCTTTATGGTCCAGCTCTCACTTCCATACATCACTACTGGGAAAACCATAGCTTTTACTATACAGACCTATGTTGGCAAGGTGATGTCTCTACTTTTTAAGATGCTGTCTAGGTTCTTTTATTATTTTAAGAGGGATAAAAGGGGACACCAGGAATAATCCATCTGAGCAAGCCAGATTGGATTACGTAACTAAAGAGATTCAAACAAATATGCAAACTAGCTTCCTGCTTTATTGAGGGGAATCTGCTCTGCTACATCAGTCGCTAGCATGAGTGAAGGAAGGAAAATACTTAATCAATATATCCTTTCCTACTATCCTTAACATTCCCACAGTTTTAAGATGCTTTCCCCACATCTCACGGGCTCCAGTGGATTAGATAATTCTTTCTCGATTTCCCTCTCTTTATTGTCTCTTTGTGAATATGTTTTCTTTGAATGTGTGTGTGTGTGTGTGTGTTTAATGAGAAAGTTCTGGGACTGGGACTTTAGAGGCAGCTGTCAGCACGTGTCTCTTGAGCCAACGTAAACTGTCACCAAGCTCCTATAAGACCCCAATATATGTGCATCTGTACAGTGGTACCTCAGGTTAAGAACTTAATTAGTTCCAGAGGTCCATTCTTAACCTGAAACTGTTCTTAATCTGAAGCACCACTTTAGCTAATGGGGCCTTCTGCTGCCGGAGCACAATTTCTGTTCTCATCCTGAAGCAAAGTTCTTAACCCGAGGTAATATTTCTGGGTTAGCGGAGTCTGTAACCTGAAGCGTATGTAACCTGAGGTACCACTGTATTCCCTAACGTATATAGTATTCCTTTAATTAAACAACCACCTTAGTTTAAAATTCATCCTGTCCAGTGTTGCTGTCCATTTTACACCTAAACCTAATATATCAGATACCAGGAGGTTTCGTAAGCATTCTGACGTAACTGATGGCAGCAGAAAACTAAAGAAACACAGATACCTAAACCTGTCTTTATACAAAGTTGGGCTGAAGGAACCAGGTATGCCTGACAGACTGATAGACAGTAATATCCCTAAAAATTGTCTAGCAACCTCCATGCCCAAGACTTCAGAACAATTTATGTGCTTGCTTATTATATTTGTCTAACACCTGATAGTAGAACTCTCAAGGCGTATGATATTTCAAAAGCAATATGATGTTATCCACGTTTGCAGAAGCTAGTTCAGGTGCACATTTGCTATCAAAAGTTTGTTGCAGGAATGTGAGGAATGACAAGGGAAAAGGAGATGTCATTTGAAGGATTGTGAGAGGTGAATGGACTACTACAGGCAAAAGGAAAGACCTCAGACTATAGCTAGTGGAGCAATCACTTCAAATGCTCTCATGGTGGGAGTCTGTACTCCGCCTGTTTGTATATTTAGCAAATGCAGAGTTCTATGTTGTGATGGTTTTCTCCACAATATAAAGACTCACAGAGTATGATTTTTGTGTGGAGGTGGGATGAGGGTGGAGTGGAGTGGAGTGGGAACACCAATAATGAAGCTAAAATCTTCAGGATCTGTTTCTGGGACTGCTGGAAATGAAGTTATGGGATCCTCTCTGCTGTTTTGGCTACGCAGATTTCAGAAGTGTCATCACTTACCCTTTTGCTTTTTTAACAAAGCGTCCCACACTGCGTTCTGCCTGTCTTGCACTCCAGCTGACAACTGGCTGCAGGTCGTTGGACAGCCTTGTTAACATTGCTCCCAAATGGACCACTACATTGATTTCCTGTGAAAGCAAACATAAACGAAGGAGAAATTCAAACATTAAAGGCGGTTGTGGCCTGGTAACATTTGGAGTGCCAATGGTTCCCCACCGTTGTTGTCAACTAAAAAGTCAACAAACAGAGATGTTAATTGGCTCATGGGGGCTTTCAACCCCAAGAGGGTGATATACCGGTACTTAAAATAACCAGGCTGCTCTTTCGGCCATAATTCTTTTTCTATGTTTTCCGGGCAGTCGTTAGTTATGTTGGGGCAGCTGTGTGTCCACCTTGCAAGGAAAAGGCAACACCAAAGAGGGAAGCTGATGCTCTTGCCAACCTGAGCGTATTTTTTTAAAAAAACAAAAAAAATGTTTAACAGTGCCACCCAATCTGCATGCCAGTTGATGAAAGATGAGGCAACTGAAGTACCTCAAAACTGAGCCATCCCACTATTCTTGGTGCAAAAGATTCACAATGTTTGAAGCTTAAAAGTATGTAAAAGGGGTTCAGTGACACTGAGTTGGTCCCTCAGGAGAATGTCGCCATCCATTCTGGAAATTATTTGCTCATAACAGTGCAGGATAGGGACTCTGTGGTCTAAACCACTGGGCCTCTTGGACTTGCCGATCAGAAGGTCGGCGGTTCGAATCCCTGTGACGGGGTGAGCTCCCGTTGCTTGGTCCCAGCTCCTGCTAACCTAGCAGTTTGAAAGCATGCCAAAAAGTGCAAATAAATAGGTACCGTTCTGGCGGGAAGGTAAATGGTGTTTCCGTGCGGTGCTCTGATTTCGGTGTTCTGTTGCACCAGAAATGGCTTAGTCATGCTATCCACATGACCTGGAAAAACTGTCTGTGGACAAACGCCGGCTCCCTCAGCTTGTAAAGTGAGATGAGCGCCACAACCCCAGAGTCGTCTGTGACTGAACTTAACTGTCAGGGGACTTTTACCTTTTTTTTAACAGTGAAGAATGGTGTCTGGCTAGTTATAGAACTGGTGAAAAGACATAAAACAGTATAAGAAAAGAGATGCTAAGAGTAAGAGAGTTGCTGAGAACCTTGTCCAAATATTGTAGCATGCCTTAATTAGTAAAAGTGAGTTATTATTGGAAACATTGTCTCGCATTCAGAACTTCTACTCGTTTAAATAGCATTTTTGCTACCATCTGGTGGCATTGTCAGCAACAGAACTCTTCTTGGTAAGCACCAGCTGCCAGCCACAATTGCTCCCCTCCTTCTTCCTGCAAGCCTATGCAATGATGCTATGGCATGGCATGGATTTCAAGTTTGACATGGGATAGCAGCTTCTGAAAAGAGTTCCTTTCCTGCCATTGACAGAAATGGCAGCAAACAATACAATGTAAATGAAACAAAATAAAAGAATTCCTTCCAGTAGCACCTTAGAGACCAACTAAGTTTGCTATTGGTATGAGCTTTCGTGTGCATGCACACTTCTTCAGATACCAATACAATGTAAAGATAAGGATAGATAAAGACAAACTTTCACATGAGCCAAATAATAAAATCATTGCAGGTTTGTCACCGACTACTACCGTGAATTTGTACCACATGTTAGATGCATGCCCAGTGAACTGTCAGTGTACAGTAGTACCTCGGGTTACAAACGCTTTGGGTTACAAACTCCGTTAACCTGAAAGGAGTACCTTGGGTTGAGAACTTTGTCCCAGGATGGGAACGGAAATTGTGCAGCAGTGGTGCAGCAGCAGCGGGAGGCCCCATTAGCGAAAGTGCGCTTCAGGTTAAGAACGGTTTCGGGTTAAGAACGGACATCCAGAACGAATTAAGTTCGTAACCCAAGGTAACACTGTAGTTCCAAGCAGTGCAGTTCCCCCGTTGTGATAACCTTGGAATCAGACAGAAATCAAGCTTGGCTCTCACTCTTCTCTGGCTTCCGCTTGCAGCCTGCTTCCAGCTCAGCTCTTGTAGAACTGCCTTGGTTTCTGTCTTCTTACTGCCTGCCAGGTGAGGGGGCAAAGGCTCACTCATTTGCCCTCTGGCACAGAACAACTTCCTTTTGTTATACTAATGATGGTGCTTAGGTGTGATCATTATCTCACAAAGAAACTTGCCTGACTAGTTCAACAATGGACTTCACCATTAGATGTTAACCTCTGCTAGATCCAGGACCCCAGGAATAGAAGGGTCTTGGGCATCATGCAGACTAACTCTTCAAACTCACAGCACTATATAGAATCATAGAATCATAGAATCATAGAGTTGGAAGAGACCACAAGGGCCATCGAGTCCAACCCCCTGCCAAGCAGGAAACACCATCAGAGCACTCCTGACATATGGTTGTCAAGCCTCTGCTTAAAGACCTCCAAAGAAGGAGACTCCACCACACTCCTTGGCAGCAAATTCCACTGTCGAACAGCTCTTACTGTCAGGAAGTTCTTCCTAATGTTTAGGTGGAATCTTCTTTCTTGTAGTTTGGATCCATTGCTCTGTGTCCGCTTCTCTGGAGCAGCAGAAAACAACCTTTCTCCCTCCTCTATGTGACATCCTTTTATATATTTGAACATGGCTATCATATCACCCCTTAACCTCCTCTTCTCCAGGCTAAACATGCCCAGCTCCCTTAGCCGTTCCTCATAAGGCATCGTTTCCAGGCCTTTGACCATTTTGGTTGCCCTCCTCTGGACACGTTCCAGTTTGTCAGTGTCCTTCTTGAACTGTGGTGCCCAGAACTGGACACAGTACTCCAGGTGAGGTCTGACCAGAGCAGAATACAGTGGCACTATTACTTCCCTTGATCTAGATGCTATACTCCTATTGATGCAGCCCAGAATTGCATTCGCAGCATATTTTAATTCTGTGTTAGATTAATACACACACACACATATACATATATGTATGATTACTCTGTAATTATACTCTTCTGAAAACTTTTATTTTTATGCCAGATACTGGCCGGTGTCCATTTAGCCCTGGTGAGCATGAGGGAGACAATATGCTGAGTTAAGTGGGCTGTTGGTCAGAATAACTATCACAATTAAAAGCTTATGATGTCTATCTATTTACAGGCTGTGTAGCATTTGACAGATGCATAGCTTCTCCCATCTGTGCAGCTATTTTTGGCCAAATGCTTAGTCTTCCTGCTCCGGGTTTTCTCATTCTCACTCTAGGGTCATACAGGTTCCTTAGTTTGACATATCATCTCACTTTCCCCTAGCTGAGTGGTGGGAGCATGCTCCTGCAGACCAAATTTGGCCCTGCAGGGGTCCCAATTTTGCCCACCCGGCCTTTGCTGATATTCTATACTAGCCTGCTCCACACCTGACATCAATGTGGTTTCATAGGTTGTTGCTTTGCTGGAGCAAGGCACTCTTCCACCCATCAGCTGATGCGTGTGCACCTTGGCCCAGGATCAGTATTCTAGATAATTTATAGATATGAATTGTCAACCCAGCAGTTCAAAAGCATACCAGCTTGAGTAGTTAATACCAATTTTATCATCCGTCCATCCATCCATTATCTATCAATATCTATCATCTATCTATCTATCTATATCTATCTATCTATCTATCATCTATCTATCATCTATCTATCTATCTATCTATCTATCTATCTAGCTATACAAGGAGAAGGGGAAGACAGGGGACGAGATGGCTGGATAATGTTCTCGAAGCTACCAGCATGAGTTTGACCAGACTGCGGAGGCAGTGGAAGACAGA